TCGGCAGTAGACATGCATGATTAAAATCGAAATAATCTTTCCAGTATTGAATTTTATTCTTTTTCAATGCTAATATATAATCAAAAAACATTGAAATTCAATCAAAAATTATTAAAATAGAATAAAAAATGATTAAAATTTATTAAAAAAAAAAGATAATCTACAATCTAATCAACCATGATTAAACTGGGATTAATATCAGATGCTTATTTTTTAGAAAGAGAGGATTAATTTTTAATCATTCGATATGATTAAACTGAGTTTAATGTCAAATTGATTAAATTTCAAGCAAAATGGGAATAGTTAAATTTATCAGTGCTCATAAATTACATATTTCACGCTGAAAATTACATTAGGTCCTAAGTAACATTGACAGATTCTCTTCGTCGACTTTCTCTTTGTATCCCCATGGCCATTTAAAAACATTCCCAGGTATTTTCAGCACACAGTTCGATAAAAGAATCTTTTACGAGATCTTTTATCTAGCATTCAATACGACAAACACAACAAGAAACGGTAATGTGCTCAAGTTATTAACGAAAGAGAAAGTCGACGAAGAGAATCGATCAATGTCACTAAGGACCTAATGCAATGTTCAGCTTGATTTCTGTTTTCTTTTCAGCTGCGTACACTGATAAAAATTCAATGATTATTTTTATGTGTCCCACATGAATTTTTGTATTGTGATAAACAAATGATATATCTAGATAAACATTTCAAAAGGTCCTATTTGCATTTAACGATTCTCTTATTCGACTTTCTCTTCCATTAATAACTCAACTTCAAAAGCATTCCCTGCTGTGTTCAACGTTCTAAGCACAAGATATGAACTGCTGCTATCAAACTGTGTGGCAAAATTAGCACCAAATGCATTAGCGTAGGCGTGGTTATCAAAAGAGAAAGTCGATGAAGAGAATCGATCAAAGCAGATAGGACCATTTGAAATGTTCATCGAGATATATGTGTCTTACACTATACATACTATCAGTGATTTCAGTTAAAGTTTAGCATGGATTATAAACAATTTTTAACCATTTTTGGTGAGGTCAAGCATTGTTTCTCATTTATGCGGGAACGTGTTGATGAACTTATTAACATATTTTTATCTAATAAAAGTGTATTTTGTGTAATAATGTATTATTTTGAACTTTTTGAATATATGTAATTTTCTGTGTATTAGAAAAAATAAAGGTGTATTTTTATGTATGAATCCATTGAAAATCATTTATGCGTATATTCTGCCATTTTAGTGTTTATGTTTACCAATAACGTTTTTAAAAGGTCCGGGCCAACAGGCAGCAAGACATTGCTGACATTGCTGAGCCTTCAAGTGACGACGTCACTCTACCATAACATTCCATACTGCGAACAGTGAGATTTACGTCACTGCGAACAGCTGTTTCGTGTAAAAAAGATAAACATTGCAATGAAATACGAACACCGCTAAACCACTAAACATTTGCACATTTCTCTAACACCAATAAGCCTGTTGTCCCGGACCTTATATAAAGGACATTGTATGTTTACCACTCGAACCCTAAGAGGAAGAGGAGACAACTGACTTCTTACTCTTTTATCTCTATCTATATCTCTATCTTACGCACTTCAAATCGGCCAATCACACGCTGGTTCACGTTTGACAGAAAAGTGGTTCGTTTTCGCCCCCGTATTGTCTCCACCGACAAACCGACATGAATGATCATAGCAAAAACAATAAAATTTCTGACCAAAGCACAATACTGACGTCTGGCTCCGTGTTCGCGGGAATTATTTAGCTAAGCCATGAACCGGCATGCAAAAGGAATGAATTGGTTTGTGTCTGATCTATTCTGGACAAATTATTTTTATCTAGATAAAAAAATCGTATGATTTTGGCAGTTCGGATCACTGCACATTTAAATCGGCCGTTTACGATTTTCGGGCATAAGTCAGAATTAAGTGTCATGTCGGTTTGTCGGTGCTGGAATTATTTTAAATCAGTACGATTATATTAGCAAAAATCACCATGTTAGCGCCCCTTGGTGGGACTTTGTATGGAAGCGAGCTGTCAACGAATAGATTTAGCAACCGGTGAACACTCGTGTTTATTTCAGTTACCGTGGGAACGTAATTTGTGATTAGTCCCGGTCCCTTTCAAATTTTATCATAATTTCAGTGCCAACATTTCAAAAGGGGCGTAATTGCATTTGTAAACAATGGCTTTAGCCGTCGATTTCTCGTGAATTAAAGCTCACTCATAAAAAATAATGACACCAACAGATAGATAAATGTTTCCTCTACCAGCTAGCATTGTTATTTTGGAGGGGTGAGATTTCATTCGCGAGGAATTGACGGCTAAAACCATTGTTTACAAAAGCAATTGCGCCCCTTTGAAATGTTGGCACTGATTTATGTACGTTCCTTATATTTGAAATAACGTTTCACATTCATCTAGTGACGGCCGATTTTCATTCGAATAATCGAATAATCGATTAACGAACTGAAAAGTAAAATATTTGTAATCGGTTATATCAACCGGTGAACACTCGTATTTATTTCAGTTACCGTGGAGACGTAATTTGTGATTAGCCCCGGTCCCTTTCAAGTTGTATCATTATTTATGTACGGTGCATATATTTTAAATGACGTTTCACATTAATCTAGTGATGGCCGATTTTCATTCGAATAATTGATTAATCGATTAACGAACCGAAAAGTAAAATATTTGTAATCGGTTATAGCATTAACATCTCCAGAGGATCATCACCGATCGTTTCAAACATGTGCTGCACTCTCATTGGTAAAAAAATAGCAGCACAGCGAACAAAAAAAACGATTTGTTGTTAATCGAGTAATTAAAAAATGGGACATCTCTGATTTTGGTGTGTTTGTTTTGATAAAAAAGAGCGCAAAATTTCATCTCTACCGAGGGGGCAGCAAAACCACAAAATTACCTTGTATACGGGGGGTATTCATTGGATGAAAGGGACCGTGAAAGAGGACACTAAAATAGAAAGTTTTTCTTCTCACGGTTTCATCTTAGTATTCATCTTTGGTTATATCATGCTGATATGAGCATTAACTTCTCCAGAGGATCATCACCCATCGTTTCAAACATATGCTGCACTCTCATTGGTGGAAAAATGACAGCCCAGTGAACAAAAAATAATCGATTAGTTGTTAATTGAATAATTTAAAAAATGGGACATCTCATGGGTGTGTGTGATTGATTCGATAAAAAAGAGCGCAAAATTTCGTCTCTACCGTGGGGGCAGCAAAACCACAAAATTACCTTGCATACAGGGGGTATTCATTGGATGAAAAGGACCGTGAAAGAGGATATCTTGATTTTTTTTTTTTTTTTTTTTTTATTATAGAGATTTTTAGCCATAGGCTAGTTCATCTCTTAACATCTTGATTTAAAAATTGAGACAATCTTGATTTAAAAATCGAGATGAATAGCTACGGAATCGATAAAAATATTGTTGTGCTCAGAAAACGAAGCTCTATCAGAAGATGTATAAAAATCGATATATTTTTTAAAGTTAAACAACCCAATTTTACCCATTTTGAAGAATAGAGGCTTAACTCATTAACTCATTACCTCGCTAAATTGATAATTGTGAGCTTTAATATATAGTTTTACGCTGGTTTTTGTAGCAAAATATTAGATTATTGTGACCAGTGCTAATTTCAGAACGATATTTCTGAAAGAAAATGTCAAGTTTCCAAAATTGTGTTCATGTTACATGATGCACCTAAGTTTTAAATTTATAAATATCACCAATGATTTGGTGCAGCATAAAGAAAAATAGAAATATAAGCGCTTTTTCAACAGCGTGTTTTGGCTGCCGTCGGGATTAAATATGCCTTCTGCAGGAATACAGCAAGATCCACTAACCTGGAGAAAACACTTATATTTAGCTTGCATTGCCTTAGTCTTCATCTCCGTCCTACCCGTGATTCATTATGATTTATTGAGTTTCTAAGATATAATTCACATAAACAAGTGACCATCATGAAGAAGAATATGAAATAGTGATGTTATAATAATTTTAATCGGTCTCTACTCCAATGCTACATGGACTAAAACTTTGGTCATTTCTTTTCATAAATAAATGGTTTAAAACACGAACGAACATAGTTTCTCCAACACACACATCTGGGACCTTTATTAAACTGTGATTTTGGATCATCCAACCTTCGATTATCGAATATTTTCCTCGATATTTTCATTCAACAGTCAAGCGAACAAAAGGGCATTTTTTCGAAACCAGTCTGCAATCATATTTTATTCGATAAAAGCTCAATGTGCCACATAACAAAAAAATCATTATGAACTGAAAATCTGATCAACCAAGCATTACACCTTTATCACAGAGAACAGACATGGAGGCTCAAACAAAATTTCTCTAAAAACTTGTGTAAAGATTTCTATTCGACTTAAGCGCCACTAACGGCGACTTCCCCACTTAAAAACCCTCTTTGACAACATGATGGCGCTGGCGTTGAACAAATTACACTAGACACTAAGTGCTAGTAGCGCTAAGTGGCAATTTTCAACAGAAAATTTATCGATACTAGCGCCAAATTGGTCGAAAGTGGAAAATTTATAGAGAAAATCAGGAGATGCTAACACCACGTAACGGCGACGTTCCCACTTATTTTACACAAGTTTCTGACCGAACTTGAACGTCTGTTCTCTGTGCCTTTATCTCGTAAAATTATATAGATTAGTTTCCAACAAAATACGCTCAAAAATGCTTTTCGAAAAGCTGAATTAAAATCATAATTTTTGTTTGCGTTTTTCTCATCTTCTTCGACCGTCAACTGATAGCGCACCTTCTCTATGGGCTGACATTGGCTGAATATTTATTTAACTTGTATAAAATAGCAACTATCATTTCGAATTTTCCACACCGTGTCGTTGTCATCGAGTGCGGTTGGTGACAGAAATGTCAAATCTGGTATACAAAATGGTGTTTGTTGGATGCTTATGCTGCATGGGTACATCTATTCGATATTTCCCGACAGGTTCTCTTTGTCTTAATTACGGAGTGGTTTTAAAATTTGGTTGCTCTACATAATTCTTAAATTTGGTGTTAAAAATATTCTCAAATTTGCCGAACGGTTGATCCAGACGACTACAGTGAGGTCATTGCGACATAATTAAAATGCCCAGTCTGAAAATGATAGAAAACAGCAAGACCAGCACCCCGGAGTCCTTCGGAAATGCTGTGGAAAGTGGTGGTAATGATGAATGCAATTCTTCGAAGGAAGCCAATCACTCGCAAATCGTTGCTAATTCCTCGGGCAGCAATAACGGGAATGCCAAAGAACAGCCGGCTAATCCGTTGCAACAAATTATACTGATTATCGAGCATAAAATTCGCAATTTGGAGAAACGTAAGGTATGTATGTATAACATGTAAATTAGGTAAATTCGTGTTATCGCCATCTTGCTAGTTTCTGGTTATGAGTATCAAACAAGCCCCTTGCTAGCCCCTGGTAATACGCATTAGGATATAATTTAATTTTTTGATAATATTTAATACTTTCAACGTACACAAGTGCGCTTGTTACTTAATTCAAGCTTTCTTACCCATATCAGCTGAGGAGTGGCATCAACAGTCTTAAAATCAATCGTAAAACCGACTTCCCGAGTGTTTGCCGGAAGCTTATGTTTCTCCGTGTTTTCTCTTCCGTCCGTTCCAGAATAAACTGGAATCCTACAAGTCAATCGAGAAATCCGGCAAGAAGCTGACGGGTGACCAGAAAATTGCTGTGTCAAAGTATGACGAATGCTTAACATCCCTGGAATTGACGAGAGAGCTGTGCAAGCAGTTCCAATCGATTGTAGCGGCAGCAAATAAGGAGGCGAAGAAGGAAGCAAAGCGAGTAAGTCATTTTTGTTTGTCTGGTCGTAATTGAAAAGCAAAAGGTTCGTCGCAATAAGTATTTATAAATAATAATCGACACTATCAATGTGACGTCAAATTTAATACCCAGCAGTGATGAGAAGGGACATCTTACCATTTATCGTTGGCAAAATATTTATAATTTTTAGAATTATTTCAGCAACAATTAAGCACAAAATTGTGTATTTCTCTGAGAAAATAGTGAATGCGTTGTAAATTTTCTCATAGTTCACAAAGGTTAGATTAGATAAGCCAGTAAGGTCAATTTCTAAGACTTTAGATTCCACCCAATTGGTTTTCAAGAATAAACTAATATTTCCAAAAAACTTTTCGCTTGGAATGAATAAAAATTGTAAAAAAATTTCTAGATCTGGAAATCTATCTAGGAATTTCTCCAGCAAGGTTTATAAGGTTTGATGTGACCCTCTAAACAATTTGTGTTAAAATTTCAAGACTTGATGGGATACATTGAAAAAATATTAACACAGTTCCTTCTTTACTGGCGGCTCAAATATTTCAGTAGGATTTCATGGAGTATTTCATCTTCAAAAAAGGAAATACCATTATGAATAAACATGATGAAAATTACCATTCAGCTGTGCAGGTTATCACGGAAAAATTTGTTATACCTTACTTGATTATGGTAGGTAGTAATGTGCCATTACAATAATTGAAAGCAGTGTTTCGTGGTTTCATTTAAGTTCAAAATAGTTTGATGCCATAGAACAACTTTGATTGTTAAGCTGAATGGCTCCATGTCCAATGATTTGTAATCATAGGAATTCCAAAAGTGCCTAAAACGGATACAAGTTCACAATGCTGTCATGTAATGGAAGAAACACTTTTCGGGGATGAACCAACCTGCGGCTGAAATTCTCTTAAATAAAGGAAATCAATCAAGAAACACTCAACTTAAATAATACTGCTCATACGACGAAAATGACACATTTTAAAACTTATGTTGGATACTCTTTGCAAATTCATGAAACGCCAAGGGTTAAACAATGTAGTCTGCACATCGAACAAAGATCTCCAAGACGATTTGGACAATCATAGATTTTTCGATAACATATCTATATATTGCACATGAGGCTCCATGAAGTGATAATGCAGTCTGTAGGTCGTACAAGGAATCATTGGCCATGTAGAACTTGGAAATTTCAACAGCTGGTTGAATTATAGAATCAGATTAACACAACAATTTGTACCACAGAATGATAATATTTAATGGACTTTAATGGAAATCTAAAGAAACAAAATTTAGACTGATCATTTGTAGAAAATTCTTTGGATTGATGTGAGTTCCTAATTCCATGAGGTTTTGCAAATCCAGGTCATTATCAAATTAGTTCGTGTTTCTCCACAAAACCTTGGAACTTGTTCCATATGTTTCCAAGCTCTCTTACTTCTACATAGATATCAAAGCATTTATGAACATTAACGTGAAGTTAAAAAAAAGAAATGCAAAGATTTTCACTATAGGTATTTAACAGAAATTCGCTGAATTTCTATATAGTTCTATAAAGCACTACAAATTTCACTGAACTTTTGCATAATTTGCCGAACTTCCACAAAATTCTCTGTACTTCTTTCTATGAAGTTCACTGAAGTACTTCGAAGTTCGCTGAGCTTCTAATAAGTTATACGGAGATAAACTAGCCAGTTGGCTAAAAAATTTAATAAGTTTGCTGAACTATTACACGATTTGTTACACTTCTAGACAGTTTCCTGAACTTCTTCGCAGTTTCCACGAAGTTCCCCAGACTACTAACTTTTGTCAACATCTGTAAAAATTTAATATTATATAGGGGAAGTGTACCAGTTACGGCACTAGTGGACCTCTAATTGCCTATTTATACGGCCTAAAACGTTAAATTTTTCATAAAAATCAAAATTTCTTCCACATGAAGCTGTTCTGCATGCCTACGTTGAATAATATGGATTATTGTGAACATGAGTTAGGCCAAATGGCTAATGAGGGGAGCACTAGTCCCATAACTGGCACAATTCCCATATTTGAACAAAACAAATGTATCGGCATGATATAGGATACCAAAGCTACAGCAGTTGTCCTACCGGCTAATGAGAGCAGGAAGCGTCCTCAAGGGGAATATACTACCACAGAACTCGGAAGCTTCTAAAGTTTAGTTATGGTCCAACAAATTATTTTCTTTTTATAGACCTTCCGCATATCATACTACTCCGTGTTTCAATAATTTAAGAACAACAGATTAATATTTAATTTCCATTCTCCTCTATTCCAGAGCGTGTTCGTTAGAGCGCAGCAGGAAAATGCGAAAATCCGTGAAGTGCTGATCATCCAGGACGTCTTGAAGCGTTTTACCGAGGCTAACGTTCGCGAAGATTTCCGCCAGGGGACTAACGGAGCCTGCAAGATTGCCGATAGTGACCTGATGCTGCTGGAGCAACTGTATGAGGAAACATTGGCCAAACGTCCGAAAACCTCTGCCGAACCTACGTTTGTTACTGCGGTCAAACAAGCGGCCGATCATTTGTCCGCCATAGTCGATGGTCGTAACAAACCCTTCGCCGATGTTACTTACGTACACATCAAGAATGTCCTTGCTGAGATTCAAAACTGCGGATACTTTGATAAGGACATTATTACCGTAGAGGAAGAGGAAACTGATAATGCTGAAGATAAGGACACCCCGACTGAAGCTGACGAAACTGGCCAGTCTGACGAACCCCAAGAAGAGGAAAGTTTGCTGCTAGCTGAGCAAAACAGCCAACCGAAGGTGAACATGGATCCATCAATTGCCCCCGTGTTGTCGGGTAATGAGGCACCCAGTATGAAAGTATTTGCCGAAGCTCCTGCTGCCACAGCAGTTCCGACTCCATCATTTCCTACTCAACCTAGCATGGTACGTCAAATTGCACCAAATCCACCTTCATCTTCGGTTCCGGATGTTGGAACTGCTCCCACTTTAGTAGCGCCACCGGTTCATATGCCAACCCAAATCATCAATGCAAATAATGGGCTTTCTCCAGCAAGCACGCCGAATGTCCATTCAGCTGCTGCTATCATTGTTCCTACTGGACCAGTAACTGTTCCTATGATGCAACCCACAGCCACACCAATGCCGCCTGTTCCCGGACAACAGCTCAATGCAACTACTGTTCAAGCTGTAGAGAATGCGTACTTTAAGCAACACTATATTCAACAGCAGCAAATGCGTCCCATCCATGAAGTGATCGGTACTGGGAACTTTTTCTTCTTGCAAGAATCAGAGATCGACAAGCCGGATGTAATTTCCACGTCGGTTCCATTTGGAAATCCGTTGACCTCTACCAATGTTACTGCTCAACAAACGCATCCGCAACAAGTCCTTATCGGACAGGCAACCAATTCTTCCAACCAACTACCTGTAGACCAGCAGGGTGTGCCGGCTCAACAAGCGACAATGATTGTCCCTCAGCAGCAGAATGTGATGATGGGCGCGCAGCATCCTCCTACCTTCAATAATCAACCCTTCCAGAACCTGACATCACCTGCTGCGAAATCATTCAATCACTCGATGCAGCCTCAAGCAATGGAAACGAGACAAATAAGTCAACCGATGAATGCCGTCCCACATTCGCGATCACCGGTTGTGTCAAAATCTACTGACCATGGTCATATTCCAGGCTTTACGACAAAACATACGACAGTTGTGGCCACTCAGTCCGTTGCACCTAAGGAACAAAGCCCCATTGTGGTGCAACCAGCAATTCCAGACGAATCACAAAACAACGCACAAAGGCAGTCCGTGCAGAAAGCTCAAATGCCACAGCAAAAACCGATGGTTGCCCAACAAGGCAGTGCCTTGAATCAACCATTCAATGCTAATCTACAACAGTACCCTTCGTTAGTTCAAAACATACATGAATCCCCAAATCAAGCAGTGTCTAGTAACTTAACGCAAAATCTTCCCGGCCTAATGGTAGACGGCGGCACGGACAAACTGAAGGCCTCTCTAAACCTGTCCGACAAGTTTCCGCTCAATCAACCGCATTTAAACCAACAGCATACCAAGCTGCGCCACGATGAATGGAATAGAGGATCTGATTTTCCACCCAACACGTCCAAGTCTGAAGACCAGTGGTCTAATAACGCGATGGCCAGGACCAGTGCAGCCGATAGTGGCTCGAATAACAAAGGACAGTACACCTTGTCCAACCAAGCAAAACCGCAACCAGTGTCTATCGCCAACGAAAACAGTGTTCCCAATGCCACCGGTCCCGTGGTAAATGAAACGAGCAAACGGCATGAACAAAATGATAATATGACATCCAACTATGTTCAGGAGTTGCAAGGCACCCATGGAGGCTCACACCAAGCACAGCCCACGTACGGACATCGTAACTCTCGTAGTGCCTCAAATTCGCAGTATCAACAGAATAACGGAACGAATGGTTAGTTGAACATTGATAGGATTAGTTTTGTCATTGTAGGTTACCTAACTAAACTATCGCTTCATCTGTTTCAGCACGTTTTGATAACGGAATAAACAATTCTTCGTCAACGTTCTTCAAAAACAACGAAAGATTTTACCAGCAAAATCAAACCAGTAACTACGGCACCAACAAGTCGGACTCGTCTTATCACCAGCGTAGCTCAATGTTCAAAAACCGGAACGACAACAACGGTAATCCTCCATCTCGTGGTGCGGGGTACAGTTCCTCAGTTCCATCCGGTGGCACAGCACCTCCGAGCAACAATGGCAACAACAGTGGAAACTTTGGTAGCGGTATAGATTACCGATCGAATGCTCGCCCAGTGAACAGTACAAGAAATACGGGCCCACCTTCATCGCGGCCACATCAACGTAACCATTCCGGAAACAGCTATGGAGGTCCTCGTGGAGGATCGAACACTAGAGCGCCACAGTCTTCTATCAATGCATGAACGCTCTGAAAATGCGGACTAGCAAACATGTTAAGATTGAAACGCATTGGAAACTAATGATCTACGCGTATGTATTTGCTGTATTTGTAGTGACAAGATATTTTCTAAGCAAATAGAAATACTTCATAATAATTTTAACACAAATATTCAAATTAAGTCGAATACATCTTATACATCATGCTAATTATTCAAATAAGTCTACCTTGCTTTCCATTGAACTCTGTATTATGTAAGCAACGTATAGCAGATAATAATAAACACTTTGAGTGTAATCAGCAATTTCACCTGCAATCGTTTATTCTGAGAACACTAAAAAACGCCCTGGGGGATAAACAGTTGTAATGCTATCAAGGGGTAGGTGAACTAGGACCAAGAAGGCTAATCCTATGGGCAATCGCACCAATATAACCAGTATACCAGTATGTCTATCATGGCGAATTTGATCAATTTAATTTATATTTATCAGCATCTGATGTCCAAATCTTTATAGCTCATTGTCTCTCATCCCAGCAGGCCTGGGTTCAATCCAATTCTGAGGCATAACATCTCTGATCACGCCTTCCTTCGGAAGGGAAGTAAAGCCGTTGGTCCCCGGTTCATGAGTTGATAGGTCGATAGGTAGGGTCCAGGTGTGGGAGCTGCCTTCCTGGCGTCGGTAGCATTGGTGCTCAGCACGGAAAACAAGATCGACGGAAAAAAAAGCAGGGATCTTTTGGCAATGTCACTGGTAACCATGTTTCTTCAAGTGGCTTCAAATGACTTTCATACAGTGCCGCAATGCTGTTGAGAAAATTTGAACGTACGACCGGAACTGAATAAAAATGGAGTGCGCGGCAACATTTTGAAAAATAAAGCGAAGACCAGAGACGGCAGTCACTCCATGACAATATAACTTTTGTCATATTCTACTGTTTTGCTTGCAGCGCAATCATTTTTATTACCATAATACTAAATGAATCGTTCCGATTCGAAATTGTTTTTTTATCACTAATAAATGTTGCATTTAATTGAATCAACAATAAATAAATAAATAACAGATATCAAATATTTCGTGAAAATAATTAAACACTTTTTTCATCATGGAGAACAATAGTCCTTTCTGGTGAATTGAGCGAAGAGTAAGGTTTATTTACTTTGCTCGTTTGGTTCAGCGTTTGACGGTTCGTTTGATTCTTCTTGCTTCAGTCTATGTGTGTCTCTATTCAACGTCTCTGCATCTGATATTATTATTTTCAAAACATTGATCTTTGTCTTCTTCGCATTTCAAGCTTATTGCATATCGAATATTTGCTCATTGCGTGCACTCAACTTATAGCGAATTCGTTTATTATCGGGGTTCCAGTTACCAGTTCCAACCCAGTGCGAAACCGAACTTTTTGTCAGTGTGAACCTCAACCTGAGCTAGGTTTTAAAAACAAACGATCAAACTGACGTTTGTCAGAAAACAAGCAGACCCAATCTTGATACCCGATCCAGGTTGGAACTGAATAATAAACGAATTCACTATTAGTGTTCTAGTTGCACTTCTAAAGTTATTAATTGAGAGCTTTCGATGCCTGTACCATTTTTGCATTAGTATAATTGTGTGGCAAATCCAATCATACTTCTATGCCCAGGGAAGTCGAGAAAATTTCCAACCCGAAAAACTCCGAGACCGGACCGGTCACACTTGCTACAGCTCTGTTATGCAACATATGCAATAAACTACCCAAGCCCACTAATTGTCCATTTTCAAATATAACGCGTATGTATGACTAATATAAAAGTAGAAAGTTCCGAAACCCTCAAACTTATATCGCGAAAATGGCGATTATCGAGCAGTTGGTGGTTACTTGGGTACGCGGTGTCCTTTCTTATAATATTATATTAATTGTATATCCAATGAGACACCTGCTTAAAAAGAAACAAATAAAAAATTCGAAGAAATACAGGTTTTAAAAATAAATATATTGTGTCTTCCGGTTGTCAATCAATAATCGTTCTGAATTGCGCCTTCCTAACATCTATGCACCACCCTAATAAATATGTTATGGTTCTGTTGCTTAAAGACGTGTTCCGGGTATCATCCAAATTATTTATGGAATAATTCTATTATTTGGGTTATCGTTCGTATATGATATTTTTTAAGGGCGCCCCTCGATCACCACCAGTTAATATTAAATAATACATCGAAATACCGATTTCGGTGAACGAATGATGCCCATATTTGAAAAATAGTTCTGGCAACTCTGAACACAAGCGTGACGCAGACGGCCCAATGACTTTGTATAAAGTCCACCCGAACAGGCAGCTTGCTTGTGTTGAAAGCAAAATTATTGCTTTGAACCATGAACGTGAAGTCGTCGCTAACAGCTGTTTCTGTGTAAAGGATAAACATTACGATGAAACATAACATTATGATGAAACATAAACATAAAACAGCACATTAAAAAATGCCTTTTCACTAATACCAATAAGCCAGTTGGGTTGCACCTTATGGAAATACATTGAGCCAGGCCAGCTATCAAAACTGAGTTACACCGCCCGTCAGCAGTAAAGTTTTACGAGGAACTGTTCAGTGCATTATTTTCTCGTTTTGCAGCGAATACGTTCAGCGAAAACCTTTTTAAAAACATGGAAACTCGTAAGCTGAAGAAGGTGAAGGAAGAGATTGTTCCAGGACCATCGTTCGAAGAAGTAACCGTGAAGGAAGAGCCGCAGGATGTGCTGCACCAGTCCGTCGAATTTCACGCTGAAGAAGGCACAGCTAGTACATCTCGCAAAAGGACCAAAGCAGTCAGCAGCACAAACACGTAAGTAATATTTTATAAGAGAACATGGGGTAAAACGCGCCCGTATACGTAGACGATCGTTTTTTATTACACATTAAATCAATACTTCTCATCGAATGTATCCATTAGATGAACCTACTTGAGTTTTCCGAAAAGCAGTGGCGTCGCCATAACTTCTATTCTATTCACTAACAGTTGCTAAACGTAAGCAAATTATGAAAAATTCTTTAAATGAATACAAATCAGTGAAACTAGGCCTGCGTTTTGGAACCGCGTAAATTTTGAATATGAATATGTTTTGGTGAACGGGAAAAAAGTCGAGTTGCGTGACGCCAATGCCGAAAACTTCATATGAATATACGCAAGTGCCTATCTACAAATGACTCGAAGAAAAAAAATATGTACCTATTCGAAATAGCTAATTTAGATGTTGTGTTTTGGGGTTTGTTCTGGTACATTTTAGATAATCGAAGATTCTTAAAACTACAAGTTAATCTACAACCAAAGATTACTCTTTTTCATTGCTGCTCGTTCTTTCGCATAGAATTATTATTTTTGTGACTTGTGAAAATATTTCCTTCGGATATTTAATGAAGCAGGGACCATTCCCTTTGTAAATTTCATGAAGAAAATAATGTTTCTTTGAATATTTAACAAATGAAATACACCATTTGAATATTTATGCATTGTACGTGAGCGATTTGAATATTTGTTTGATATGAGCTTTGGCTAATACCGTGGAGTTAAAAACGCTTCAAGTTTAAAGCAGTTTGAAAAAATAAAATTAATTTGCAATGGATTTTTGTTTCTTTAAGCGTCATGCTATTGTGTATTATTTATTTTGCATAACAAATCTTTACAATCTTACAATATTTTAAAAACTTAAATCATATTAAAACTGTAATGGTTTAATTGAACCTAATATGCCTACTACCGGCCTAATAAAAACAACCATAAGAAAGAGTCGACAAGTTTGGGAAATCATCAAAACCATATTTTGTGGAATAGTTTTACCAGTCGGGTTACCGTTTGTTTATGGAATCAGTTTATTAGGGACGCACTTGGAAAATTACACTTTGAACGCACCATGAATAGAACTTCTCTTTCTTCCACTTTGAACGCACCATGAATAGAACTTCTCTTTATTCTACCAATTTTTATTTTGAGCAACCAGTTGTAAAATTAGCAATGCCTTAGTAAAGATAACTCGGTCTAACATTTGCAGTAATAATTTAAAAAATAAATAAATTTACGTAGCAAAATATTCAAGTTAGCCGTCAAATCCACGGTATTAGGTGCTGCGCGGAATTAGAGCAGTCACGGTACCTTCCTAATAAGATTTGGGCATCAGATTCTGATCTTGACTGTGGCAACAACACAAAAACAAATCCAAAAACTACCCCTTTTCTGATGTTCCTAATAAAATACCATAAACGAACGATTACCCAAATGATTGAACTATTCCACAAATTGTTTGGATGATACCCCGAACACGTCGTTAAGCAAACTAAATATAATATTTTTTATTAGGGGTGGCCAGCAAACCGGAAATTCGAAAACTAGCCAGGCAAACTGGGATAAAGTCCTAAGTCTCATAAGTCTTTCTGTCCTGAGGTGGTTTACCACATATAATGGAGTCCGACTCGTGCCGTGCGAGTCTGGCTTTCCCTTTTGAAGGGAAACTTAGACCAGGATCTTATTTTTTTGTTAGCATAAAATCTCTCAAAATTAAAAAAAAACCAAAGTGAATATACCCCCTACATTTCAATGCCTGAATTACCCAGATAATTCGCAAAGTTTATATAATTCAATTCTTTATAGGATATATGGATTTTTTCAAGTATTTCCTTAGAATCACCCCAAGATGTCTTCAGAGTTGCTTTCAGGATTCCCCCGAATCATCTTATAATTCTTTCTGGCATTCCCTTGAAATACTCGTCCTTAGAATCCACAATACAATTATCATAGTATTCTTAATAATTCTCGTGATAATTCCTTTAAAATGCTCTCCATTATTATCTGTAAAAGTTACGATTTGGAAATTAATCTTTGTAATATTCCTAAGAATTTCCATGGAATTTATCTCAGAATTGTCTTGGAAATCTCAACAAAACTGATTTTTTTCAACAAATTTCTTTAGCTTAACATTATCTCATCCTCTCGGGATTCCATTTAAATTATCCCTATAATTAATTTCATTTGGATTGCTTGCAAAAATCACGTTGAGATTCTTCTCAAAATTTGTCAAGCATTCTTCTTGAAATTTTCTTGTAATCCTCTTCAGAAATTCTTTGAAAACTACGTATTTTGATCTTACAACTACAGACTGTACACCTATGGATCAAAAGTTTTCCGGAATTATAATCTAGGTCTGTCGAAAATAACAATTTTGGTTTTGTCATACTGTTGGTAGATTTGGATTTGGTCTTTAAAACTTCGATAAAGCTTGTAATATTACTTAAGTTATTTCATCATATTGAGCTATTTCCATTAAACCTGGAAACCTATTTTAAATAACCGGGAATTTTAATTCCTCATACCAATGGCCACACTGCACAATGTCAGCCTCTACAAAACATATGATAATGAAACTGGAACTTCACACTCTGCGAAATAAACGAAATGCGAAACAGAAATTCTAAATATTGCCTTATTCATTTTAGCTACAAGAAATTGGTGTGATTTGCCTTATTTACACACGTCTGTCAATGCTTGGATAAGTAGAGAAGCTAAAGGCATATGATATCTTGTACAGACATACAGAGTATAGTCAACAATCAATACGAAACTAACGATTTTAAATTGGCTCACCACTTTAGTAGCCTATTGGTCCCAAGCAAACGATTAACGTACCCTATTCTAGTCGAAATTCTAGTACTATGCAATGTTTGTTTTGATTCGCTATGAAAGTTTGACAGATAAAATGAGGGGTTATTGGTTTTACCTATGTTTCGAGGGGTGATTCGACAAGCTTGGGACCGAAGATAGTACCAGAGTTGAGCCAAAAAGTTGAGCACGTTTCTTCGGGACCTACTTGTCTTAGAGTTACCTCTATGGTATAGTCGCTATATTCGTAGTCTGGCAGATAGAATCTCGGGAACCAATTGAACTGTCAAATAGCAGAACTAATCGAGCAAATCACGACCAACAACAGAAAAGAGCACATCAGCTATTGCGAACAAATCTAAGGAAACCCTTTTCTTGTGACTCAAGACTCGTCTACGCAAACTAACACCATCTTTGGGTTGGGGAAAGTTTCCCTTATCCGATGATGCTGGTAATTTGCGTTCGATTGGCGAAGAAAGAATAATCAACGTTTTGTTTATAAAAGTTGATAGTACCTTTTCAATTGTTGGTCTACAATATATTGAATTGGTTCCACTTTTTGATAGATCGAAATTCTATCCGCCAGACTATGAATATAGCGACTATAATACAGAGTAGTACCACAGACCAACACTAAGACCAAGGAGTCTCGAAGAAACATGCTCAATCGAGAACGGGGTAAGCTTATGGATGTACTTGTGACCAACTGGCTAGTCAAGTAAATGAGTCAATTTTCGTGTTGATTGTTGGTAGTACAGCTTTAATTTAGTACCCCAATTGAGTTGTGCTACCCCGTTGGGCCACTTCCCTGACAGCGTCAGAACCTGGCCCAACTATTACTGTATTCAAACAGAAGAGGACAATGAGGAAAAATATTCACACGAAATCAAACTTTTTTGATTCTTCTATTGGACAATATTTTTGCTCGTGTGGTGGGCGTTTTAGACATACATTTACACGACAACCGCTTCGCATATAAAGATGCGTGTAGGGACCACTCAAAATAAATTATTCGTGTTTCAATATTTCCCCTCATTTTTACTTTCTGGTTGACTACAGCCAGATCTTGAGCATCTTTTGTCAGGAAAGTTATTATTTGTCTCGGTCGGAACCGATCCGATTTAACAAATATAGTGAGGAACATTTCCGGCGCCGGTGGTGTAGTGGTAAGCGCTCACCCCAATGGGTCTGGGTTCAATCCCAGCCAAGGTCGGTGGTATTTTTCTGAGGCATAAAAATCTCAGGTCACGTCTTCCTTCGGAAGGAAAGTAAAGCCGTTAGTCTATGCCCATGTGTGTTGAATGGGTGTGATATCCTACGCAGGTACAAGATGGCAAGCCAATGTGCAGGAAGGCAGTTTACAAAAACTGCCTTCCTGCACATTGGCTTGCCATCAATGGATGGCAATGTTCGTCGGTGATTGGCACTAGATTGCGGAACAAAGACCCACGTTAAATAGAGGAATGAAGAGTAGTGAGGAACAGGCCCAGTATTGATAATCCAGCTAAAAACATTCTGTATCTGTAAAATGATTTTCAAACGTATTGCTTAAATAGTTCTTTGGTCATTGGTTCACTTAAACATGATCTGCATTGCTCTTTGAAAACAATTTTCATTAACAAAATTACAAGAAAATATGCAAGAATTTAATAGGCGGACATTTTGAAACAAAAGAAGGAACGTACACAAATTGTTTAAAAAGAAGGGCATGTCCTCCTTAACAATGCCATCTGGTAACCTAAACCTTAATTGACTGAGCTAAACAGAGGTATTATGAAAGGATCAAATACGCTCTTGGGATAAGCCTGTGGCATAGTTCTGTAAATTAATGTTATGGACATCTCCAGCAGTGCATACCTACAAACACACTTTTGATTTTAAGCGATTAAAATTTTCTCGATTTTGGTTCTGAACACAGTTTTCCGATGATATTTTTGTTTCAACTATTTTCAAAGATTATTGCATTAAATTTAATCGAAACTGAACATAAAACGAGTAAAATACTATTATTTTTAGACCTAATTCACCTGATAGGCAATCAAGTCAGCAACCGAAAACGTCAGTACGTATGAAAAATCGTTACACGCAAGTAATTCCCGAGGACATAGATCTAGCCAATATAATGAGATTTAACCAACTCGAAAGGCTCGGTGGAGACAAACCGATTGATCCGACCGGCTTTGACGAAATCGTTCCACAGTGCCGCCTCTGTCTGCGTAGAGTTTCACGTGAGAATCTCGAGATTATCGTACGCAAACATAAGAAAAAAGCGAAAGTTGCTTTTCAAATTCGTATTTTTCCGCACGATGCTTACCCATTTATTTGTTTAAACTGCTTGAGTCTGATGGATATTTTCATTGAATTTAAAAATGCCGTGACTCATGCGAAGAGTTTGCTCGTCAACGAGAGAGCTTATTTAGAAAGCGACGGGTGGGACGATCCAGATTTTGTCGATGCTTTGAAAAAGTGCAAGCAGGTTGTCGAGCTTCATCGGAAGCAGATTGATTCAATGTATGAAGAAAATTCGAAGCCTCAAAAGAAAGAGAACGAAGATTGTGTAGGGGGCAAAGTTGAAAGTGACGATAATGTCGAAAATGACGCTATCAATGAACCAGTTGATGAATCTACCATACAGCCAGAATGTATTATAACTGAGGACTTCGCTCCGTCACACTCCTCGAATGCAGACAAATCATCAGAAAATATTAAACAGGATGTGGAAGAAGTTGCACAGTCGGCTACTGTTGACTCTATGGATGTGGATTCCAGTTCAGAGGATAAAGATTTCAATCCAGAGGATAAAGATTTCAATCCAGAGGATGAAGAGGAAGATGACGAAGACTATAATCCGAAAGTAAAGAAGCTAAAGATTAGAAAATTGGACACGCATGCGCGTAAACCACCGGCTCTTGGATATAAACAGGTCGTCTCAAAACAGTTGTGCGATTTCTGTGGCGCATCCGTTCGTCCAGAATCAGTGGAAAGTCATAAAAATCGTCATCTAGGTAAATAATTCATTGTTGTTTTCGGCTAAATTTTAATGATGGCTTTTGCTGTTTAGGTGTCAGACCATACGTATGCTCTGTCGCAGGTTGTGGATTAACATTCTTAAGTCGTTACTTGCTATCCAGACACAATAAACGTTTTCATAGTGAAAGCGGGGTGCTGATCAATACCTGCAATATATGTGGCAAGCAGATTCGAGGTTCAGTTGCAGATTTGAAACAACATCAAAAAAGGCATAATATTGATCAGAAAAATCATATATGTCTGGTGTGTGGTAAAGGTTTCACCATGAAATGGTATCTTACCCAGCATTCCATTATTCACTCCGGAGAATTTCCGCACAAGTGCAAGTATTGTGGAAAAAAGTGAGCGTACAATGGGTGTTTCAACTGATGTTTAAATAATTTGGTGTTATTTTTTCAGATTTAACAACAAATGGAGTATGAAAACACATGAAAAGAACATTCACGAGAAGAAAAATCAAGTTCCAATTGAAGAAAAGCAAACGTGGGATCCTGAAAGCGTCCCACAGGTCGAGCAACAGCCAAACACTTAATAATTTTAATGATTTCATCTGGATTGATCAATAAATAATATTTTGTTGTTGTAATAAGCAAGTCATCAGTCTTATCATTCTGATTATACATATTATTGGTTTAAAGCCATGTAAAGGAAATCTTGACATGAGAAATTTAAATGTTATTTAGCAATGGATTAACGTAAGCTTTAATCTCACAACTACTGACTGCATGGCACAACCTTCTTTCTATGGGCAAACAGTTATTAAAAAATATGTATGGAACATTTTGATTTTTTTTTTCTCAAAGATATCGATTTTAGAAGCGAACACAGAAAAAAATTGGTTGGCCACTTGTATTTTTTCGATAAAGGTTCTAATTTCGTAAAAATCAAATTAAGAAAAATTGTATGCGAAAATCTTTAAAAAGCTATCAGTAACGCTAGTGTGTAGTCGATTTGCTTTGTGTGTAACAAATATATCTGTTACCTATTTTTAGACCTAAATCACCTAATAAGCAATCAAATCAGCCACCGAAAACAGCAGTGCGTAAGAAAAACCGCTACACGCAGGTGATTCCAGAAGACATTGATCTTGACAATATGAGAAAATTTAACCGACTAGAAACGCACGGTGGAGATAAACCGATTGATCCAACCGGTTTGGGCGAAATAGTTCCTCAGTGCCGCCTCTGTCTGCGTAGAGTTTCACGTGAGAATCTCGAGATTTTCGAAGGCAAACATCAGAAAAAAGCACGAGTTGCTTTCCAGATTCGCATTTTTCCGCACGATGCTTACCCCTTTATTTGTTCAAACTGCTTGAATCTAATGGATATTTTCATTGATTTTAAAAATGCTGTAACTCAAGCTAAAAGTTTGCTCGTCAACGAGAAAGCTTATTTAGAAACCAATGGATGGGATGACCCAGATTATATCGATGCTTTCCAAAAGTGTAAGCAGGTTGTCGAGCTTCATCGGAAGCAGATTGATTCAATGTACGAAGAACTGGCGAATCCTCCAAAAAAGGAGTATGGAGATCAAGTGGATGATGATAAGACTGAAGAAAACATAGTTGAAAATAACGACATGGATGATCCAGAATATGAATCCAACATGGAAGATGTTTCGTCGCTTTCTAATGAAAATCCTCATGTCGAAGATAGTGAACAGAAAGCGGAAGAAGTTGAAAGTCCAAAAATGGAGGTGACCGAATTATTAGCCGATGACTCTATGGACGAGGATTTCATTTCGGAAAGTGAGGCGGAAGATGATGAAGATTACGATCCAGGAGCAAAGAAGCCAAAAATAGTTAAGATGAAAAAGTCTACTACGCCTGCAAATGCTTGTGAAGATAAGCCTGTTCATGCAAATAAGCCGGTAGTTTCAAGACAGTTGTGTGATTTCTGTGGAGCATCCGTTCGTCCAGAGTTAGTTGAAAGTCATAGAAATAGTCACTTAGGTAATTGGAATTCAATTCTTAATAAGTTTTATGTTAATAGTACATTTTTTTTGTCTAGGGCTCAGACCATACGCATGTTCTGTAGGAGATTGTGCAGTAAGATTCACAAGTCGGTACAATTTGGGCCAGCATATTATACGTATCCATAAAGAAAGTAAACTTCATACCTGCAATATATGCGGCAAGCAGATTCGAGGTACACTTGGAGTTCTGAAATATCATCAAAAAAGGCATAATGACGACAAGAAAAAACATATCTGTCAAGTTTGTGGTAAGGGTTTCACAATGAAATGGTATCTTACCCAGCATTCCATCATTCACACAGGAGAATATCCGCACAAGTGCAAATACTGCGGGAAAAAGTGAGCATACTATGGGTATTTTGAATGATTTTTAAATAACTGTGTGTTATTTTTTTCAGGTTTAACAACAAATGGAGTATGAAAACACATGAAAAGAACATTCACGAGAAGAAAACTCAAGTTCCAATGGCAGAAAATCAAACATGGGATTCTGAAAGCTTCCCACAGGTCGAGCATCCGACAAACCTTCCATAATGCTGATCAGGATTTTAACGATTTCTTGTGGATCAATAAATATGATGTATTGTTGTAATAAGCACTTTTTTTATCCTTATGATACCTATAATAAGTTTATAGAAATGTATAGGAAATTTTGACAAAAGGTATTGAACAACTGGGCAAATCTTTATGTTCTTTGTTTGTCAGAAATAGCCCCTAGATCGGTTTAGGTGGATCCGATTTTAAAAACACCTCTCATAAAATAAAAGGTACAAGCATTCCATAGTACCCCACACCACTTACGAACGCATACTGCATATCTCTGCAGTCAAACCTCTTGTTGCGGAGATCTATTTAAATAAAAATTTTAAAATAGGCATTCGAAGTTTTGTTTACGGAAGCTGATACGCCATTTTCAATTATTGGTCGAGATATAATATTTGCACTCAAAAAGTTTATCACATAAGCTATTGTTGAATCTAATGTTGACCTAATCTCAATGCGTCATCTGCATAATATAAATGGATATTTTTGGTTGCTAGTGAAACCAGTTTCCTACTACTTTGTCTATGACATCATTTCAATTAGATGAACCGTTTTCGTGTTATGATTTACTTAAACTTTGTTTATTGCCTCTAGCGAACAGTTATGCGAAGTTTCATGGAATTCTAAGAGGTAGAATCCAAAATTTGCTTGTTTTTTCGCTATTTGGCCTGGAACAGCTTAACTGCAAACATCACCACGAAATTACATGAAATTACACTATGTGGTCAATGAAATCAATATTAAAAATCAAGTCTACCCCGTTTTGTATACAGTTGTTTGGCATAATGCCGTGACACATAGCTTTATTTTTATTTTTATCAAAACAAACAGTGGTATCACATTTCCTGGAAAATAATTTGCCGTAATGCCATTTTTCGATATTGCTTTTCCCACAATGAGCTTTTCACCGGAGGTCTATTTATTATTTATTATTTTTATTAAAATATATTCAAAAAAGAAATATTCCCTTTATAAAAGTATTCCAAGAAATCCCATCTTTATTGAAATTTTCGAAAAAGAGAAATATTCCTTCTTTATCAAAAAATTGTTTTCCGGAAATAGACTTTCCGGGCAGTTGCATTCGAGGAAATGGACACCATTCAAATTAGTTTATTAATATAATTAGATTTAATTTTAGCGCTTAACAAGTATTATGCCAAACGGGATCGATCCTGAAAAGTCATGTGATCACGTATATGTAATGTGAAATTCAAATGTTTTTATTGAATTAAAATCATGGGCGAAGCTGCATTGGGAAATAAAAATATTAATCAACGAAAACAGAAAACTACTATAACTTTAGTGTGCAGTCGTTTGGCTTTATGTGTAACACATATATCTGTTACCTATTTTTAGACCTAAATCACCTAATAAGCAATCAAGTCAGCCACCGAAGACAACAGTGCGTAAGAAAAGCCGCTACACGCAGGTTATTCCAGAAGACATTGATCTGGACAATGTGAGAAAATGGAACCGACTGGAAACGCACGGTGAAGATAAACCAATTGATCCAACCGGTTTGGGCGAAATAGTTCCTCAGTGCCGCCTCTGTCTGCGTAGAGTTTCACGTGAGAATCTCGAGATAATCGTAGCCAAACATAAGAAAAAAGCACGAGTTGCTTTTCAGATTCGCATTTTTCCGCACGATGCTTACCCCTTTATTTGTTCAAACTGCTTGAATCTAATGGATATTTTCATTGATTTTAAAAATGCTGTAACTCAAGCTAAGAGTTTGCTCGTCAACGAGAAAGCTTATTTAGAAACCAATGGATGGGATGACCCAGATTATATCGATGCTTTCCAAAAGTGTAAGCAGGTTGTCGAGCTTCATCGGAAGCAGATTGATTCAATGTACGAAGAACTGGCGAATCCTCCAAAAAAGGAGTATGGAGATCAAGTGGATGATGATAAGACTGAAGAAAACATAGTTGAAAATAACGACATGGATGATCCAGAATATGAATCTAGTATTAAAGCGGAGTGTATTACTACTGAAGATGTCATTCCATCACTTCCTACTGAAAATCCTAACACAGAAATTATGGAACAGAATACGGAAGAAGTTGAAAAACTAAAAATAGAAGTGGCAGAATCAATTCCTGATGACTCTATGGACGAGGATTTCATTCCAGACGATGAAGAGGAAGATGAAGATTTTAATCCAAAAGTTAAGAAGCAAAAAACTGTCAAGATAAAGAAGGCTGCCACAGCTGCAAATGCTTGTAAAACATCTGGAAATAAGCAGTTAGTCTCAAGACAATTGTGTGATTTCTGTGGAGCATCCGTTCGTCCAGAATCAGTAGAAAGTCATAGAAATGCTCATTTAGGTAATTGATTTTAAAAATCTTAATATGTTGTCTATGTTAATGAATAATTTCGTTGCTAGGGATCAGACCATATGCATGTTCTATGCAAGATTGTGCATTAACGTTTACAAGCCGGTTCAATTTGGGCAAACACATCAAACGTATTCATAAAGAGAGCGAAGTTCATACATGCAATATATGTGGCAAGCAGATTCGAGGCACAATTGGAGTTCTGAAATATCACCAACAAAGGCACAACGTCGACCAGAAAAAACACATCTGTCAAGTGTGTGGTAAGGCTTTCACGATGAAATGGTATCTTACCCAGCATTCCATTATACACACAGGAGATTTCCCGCATAAGTGCAAATACTGTGGAAAAAAGTAAGCATTTGATATGTATACAACGACCTTCTAATAATTTGGTATTACTTTCGAGATTCAACAACAAATGGAGTATGAAAACGCACGAAAAGAACATCCACGAGAAGAAAACTCAAATTAAAAACGAAGAGAACCAGTCATGGAATCCTGAAAATTTTTCGCAAACCGAACCTCAGCCTCATATAAAATAATTTATTTCAAAATTTAAATATACCAATTTGAATGGCTCAATAAATAGTTTGCTTTTGTAAATGTATTCTACGGTGTGTAATTGGCACCGTTTTCAGTGTTCTTTGCGATCGACGAATAATTAAATCCGTGGTACATGTAGGTGGGTAACCAATAACTAAATGATAAAAAAAATAGTGTAATAATCCTTTGCTATTTTCAAAGCCACTTAGATTTTTGGTGAATTTTCAGAGTGCAACTTAGTTTTCATTTTTGTGAAGAGCTTTGAGTGGGTTGGTTTATTTCCTTTAAATTCCGTTATAATTGCTTATCTTTTGACAGATACGCGTATTTCGTCTACTACTTGCAGACTTCATCAGTGCCAAGTACTCAAGGAATTTAAAGGAAATAAACAAACCCACTCAAAGCTCTTCATAAAGGGATTCCGTTAAGAGGTTCGACAAATTTAAAGGATTCATTTTTGTGTTTACACAGCAAAGTTGTCCAAAATTACATCCATCATTGAATAGGGTTTCGATTCATTGATGAAAAATAAATTTCCTTATATTCCCTAATTTTCCAGTCGATTTGAAAAATTGTAGACAGGGTTGGAGTGATAGACATAAAGGCAATCAAAAAATAAATTAAGCTTACTGATTTAAATTTCATGCATGAATCTACAGTAAAAATAAAATGTTTTAGATTTTTAATGGGAAAATTTACGGGAAACCGAACAAAGCTATTCACAAGGTGGCCAAGAATTTGATGGAAATCATACAATTCTTTATTGTATCTATATTAATCGAATTCTGTTAAATTACACTCGAAGAGCGATAACACATCATAAACATCGAAATTGCTTACAAGCTTGTATACAGTATCTCAGATTTATGCGAAATTGCGCTTAAATTGACATAAAACTACGCCAAATCCAGCGTCAATAACGTGTGTGCCATATATCGCAGAAATTTATGAACATGATTTTTTTCATACGGCGCTGGATACCAAAAATAAGTCTGCAATCCAATTAATATTATAGCAATGTCCCCCATGTCTACGTAGTTTATGGATAGCCCCTTTCTGTTACACTTTTCTGAACTTTCTAACTCCATAATATTACACAGTTTTCAAAGACCAGAATCTTGAAATTTGTTCTCCATCAAAGTCTCAGAGCGATAAGTTTTTTTTTTTTTTTTTAATCCTGGATATTTAAGATCTATGTATGGAATCTTGAAAATGTTCCAATGTTTAATAAATTGTTCCTTAGGAACTCATCTATGGATTTGTTCAGAATCTTTATAATTATTTTTACTGTCATGATTATGATTATGACCGGTATTCCCTAGACATTTTTTTCCATAACAGTCTCGGAATTCTATGCAGAACACCAATGCATTTCACCAAGAAAACTCTTGAAATGTATGCTTAATTACCTTCACATTCTTAACAGTCAGAATACCAATGGTGCAAAATGCGTGTCGATGCTGCGAGCAAGCTCGCTTCTGGGCAACAGGACAGGCATGCAGAGTCGCAGTATCCACACACACGACTGGTTATAATTCTAGCGAAAATTTGTTTAATTTATCTCCATTATTTACCTTAGAATTCGCTTGGAATATTCCTCAGAAATCTCTTGGAATTAATGTATTCTCCCTTGGATTTCACCTCATAATTCTTCTCAAAATACCGTTCAAAGGATTTTTCCTTGCAGCACTCCTTAAATTTTCTCTTTGATTGATCAACATTGAAGAGATTTTCAGCCGTAGGTTAGGTGATCATTTCTGGATTGTAGGCATGTAGTCAAGTTTGCTGTAGAGTTAATTCACTTTAAAGGAAACAGGTTCCGAATTGCCTTAGAATGCTCCCTGAAAGAGTTCCGTGGAACTTTAGTCATGTTCCGTATAATGACTTCTTCACCTTTCCTTCTTTCTTTTATCATACTAAGTAAGTAAAGTCTTTATCCATATTTTATACACTGTATAATATGTTTAATAATATTATTATCAATCATATTCCAAAGCATGAGTTGATCGCAGGTATCATTTACGAACGTTTTCCATGTTTTATAATGTGTTTTTTTTTAGACTGACCATATTGCCCCATATACCCTATCATTGTCCCGTGCACCAAAGAATACTAGGTATAACGATGAATTAAGCCAGTGGTTAACAGTCGATTAGGATAGGTTGGTCGATTCTCTTCATCGACTTTCTTCATCTTCATAACAGTTACTGGTTCCAAACGTAAACAAGCCATAAGTAACAGACAGGGTTTGTTTACGTTCGGAACCAATTTCATACCTCGTTTCATACAAGAATATGAGTAGGCTGATTTGACAGCACGTCCCCCCTCCCCAGTTTTTAGTAGCTTGTACAAAACTGACAGCATTTGAAAATAATCAACAAAGTTTAACTGTGTTGGTGCGCGATTGACTTTGATAAACTTTCTGTGAAATAGTTGGTGATTGCATCTATTTTCGTTCTTCGAATAAACGAAAAAAAAAAATTGTAAATATGATAACCCGTCGTTGTAACAAGCCAAAAAGCCCAACAAATGTTGGACTTTCTTTTGTAGAAGTGAAGGAAGAACCGGAAGTTAAATTGTACGACCTCAGTGAACTGCTTCAACCTCAAAGGACACTGAAGCGTACACCAGAAACAATACACAAGTATGTATGGATCGTTAATATAGAATGCGTTGCAGGGAGCACTGTTAGATAAATTACGGATGGACGGAATAGTAAATAATACCTTTTATGAAATAAGAAGCAAAACTAATATCCTTACCACCTCGTACTAAGACGCGTCGGTGGATGTCCTTATCATGGACATTATGATAGTCGTCTGGTTTGAAGTGTTTGGAGCACACGAAAGCCAGAGGGACGTCATTGTTGTGGTTTGTGATGCCACAAAAATCCAACCACATTTGCCGACGGCTTCCATCCTTTGGAATTTGATGCAATTTAACTTGCAGTTTTTTCTGTTTGATTTGATAACTGTTCACTTCACAATTTTTCACGGAACACGACACCATTTTACAACTCAAAAGAAAACCGTAAGATCAACAACTTCGTAAACAAATTATAATAAAACCCGCACAGAAATTTATGGACAACAATCGACGTGACGTCGCCACTTTTACATTGTCCGTAAGAGCAAGCCGAGGAAGCAAAAAGCAACGCGATGACACTACTACTGCTTTAAAAGCTAGCGTTCGGAATCATACGGACCTAACTATGGTAATCGATTCATTCCATCGCTTTTCTCTTAGCATTACTAGATAAGTCGGTAAAGATGGGCACTTTGCTGCTATTTAAATCATACTAAAAGCAAGGTTACTTCCACTCACTTGCTATAAAAAAAATGTTTTTCAGAATTATGAAATCATTAGATGTTATAATGATAATTAATACTTTTAAGTTACAAGAAGAGGTCGTGAAGTATGTGCTTGGCACATAAAATCTGTGTGTCAATCAGCGATCAGCTCACTCTGAGTGAACGCGCACGAATAATAAGATCGCTGATTGTGACGCTCTGAAAGCAAAATTGACCAGTTTTATGAGTCAAACAGATACTTTACACCCTCTTCCTGTTACTTACAAGTATTACATATCATTACATTATCTAATGATTTCATAATTCCGAAAAACAATTTTTTATAGCAAGTGAGTGGAAGCAACCCTGTAAAAGTATGCAGTGCTAAATTTATTTCAAACAGATTTTTTAATTAAAGTAGCAAGTGTCCATCTTTATTATCATTGAGGCTGAAAGAGCTCAATAGGGACACCAATATAGACAAAATATGGTTAAAATAAAAATCCAGCATGCCACACAGTGTAATCTAAAATAAACTGCAATTACACTTACAAATAATGTTCTACTTTTACAGGCATAGTTCTACATTACAACCGAAAACGTCTGAGCAAAAATCATGCAAAACTAATTACAGTAGAAGTCGTGCCACACAGGTTAATTCAGAAGACATTGACGCAATAAGCGTAAGAAGTTTAGATCTGTCTAACGTTCAAGCTGAAAATAAACCAATTCTACCTATCGGAACCGAAGTGACTATCCCACAGTGTCGGTTTTGTCTGCGAAGAGTTTCACGTGCAAATTTGAAAATCATTCTCACTAAACATAAATCAAAAGCACAAGCCGCTTTCCAGATACGTGTATTCCCTAACGATGCCTATCCATTTGCTTGTTCTAACTGTTTGAACTTGATAGACATTTTCCTGGACTTCAAATCATCTGTCACGAAGGCACGGAATCTACTTCTGAATAAAAGAATGCATTTGGAAAATGACGGGTGGGATGATCCAACACATATAGAAGCTTTCAACCAGTGTAAAGCTGCCGTCGAGCAACATCGAATGCAGATAGAGGCTATCTATGATGAGCAAATGACTAGAGAGGAAAGACGAAATGAATCCGTATTTGAATCAAAAATGGAGCAGAATGTTGCAGAACAAGAAATACCTTATACTAACGATGATTTTGATGACGAACAAAGTTCAGAAACAACAGATAAAATGGCGATTGAACCAGCTGTTGAGTTAGAATTGGAATTTGATATTAACGAAGCGAAACATATGTTGATGTCCCATCGCAATATTAATGAGAATATTGATAACGATAGTGAACTAATCACCACTTTGAATGCTGATATAACTCATGAAGCACATGTTGAGAATGAGAACTACACTACTTCAGTTGATGAGGACTACGTACACCTATCGAAGAGAAGAAAGGCAAAGGTAATCAAATATTATACCGAATCTGAGCAAGATTATGAAGATGACGACTACACTCCAGCTGAAACGAATTCATCAGATGACAATGACTACATACCAGAAACATTAGAAGATACATCAAAGAAACCCAAAGCATCATCAGATTTCGAACAGAAAACAAACGATGATATTTCCATACCTGAAGAACTGGAAGCTAACAATAAAGGTAAATCTCCACGTTTGTCTAAAGCTAAAGCGAATCCTAGAAAAAAGGAGTCGACATTGAACAGACCACCGGATTGTAAACCGTCTTCCATCTTGCATGTATTATGCGACTTGTGTGGCGAAAAGATGCGCCCTGAAACGATTGAAGGCCACAAAAATCGTCATCTAGGTAAGAAGTTCAATGAGAGTTAATTGTAAAACAGGGTTATATTGTCTACTTTCCTCTTCTAGGAATTAAACCTTACATATGTCCTGTGGATGGTTGTGAGTGGACGTTCTACGGTCGAACTAACATGTCTTTGCACATGAGACGTAGGCACCCTGAGAATGGCGTCCCGTATCAGAAATGCGACGTATGCGGCAAATATATCCGAGGAAATCGTAGTATCTTCAATCAGCACAAAAAACGACATTTTCTAAAAGAGAAAAGCTATGTCTGTCCAGTGTGTGGCAAAGGCTTCACGCTAGACAGATACCTCAGACAGCATTCGATCATTCACACAGGACTGTTTCCGTATGAATGTAGCTACTGTGGTAAAAAGTAAGTATCTATTTGCATGCAGGAACTGCTATCAGTTAGGGGCCTCCCTTAAGTCAGTTGGTAAAGGTGCAACTATAACGTTTGGTTGCTGGAGGCGGCTGGAGTTCGATTCCCGGTCCGGTCGAGGAATTTTTCGTGCCGAAAATTTTCGCGACTTCCCTGGGCCTCGAGTATGATCGTACTTGTCACTCAATAATACTAATGCAAAAATAGTACAGGCTTGGAAAGCTCTCAATTAAAACAACTTTGAAGTAAAAAAAAGTGTCCAAAGCACACTAAGTTGAGAGGTGGCGTAAAGTTCCAGTACGGTCATAATAAATCAAAATAAGAAGAAGAAAAAGCTATCGGTTAAACTCTGACTAACAATCATTTTCAGGTTCAACAATAAATGGAGTATGAAGACCCATGAGAAGAATATGCACGAAAAGAAGAACCAAACATCAACTGGTTATGATCTAGACCCGATTATAGATGCGGCTGCATCTGGAACCAATTATGTACATTAAATAGTTTGTATAGCCTCGCAAATACTTTATACCACAGACAAACAGACGTAGCTTTCAGAATAAATTGCTCTAAATCATCCATCGCAACGGAGCTTGCCAACGACACCTCGTGAGCTCTCCGCGGAACATAAATCTGTTGATCTAAAGTCGCAAAGAATGTTGCTTATGCAAGGTAAATTGATTATATACAGAAACGTCTAGCGCTACGGCAGATGATCCATGCAACTAATAATAAGCTGTCAGTTTTGATTCAATAACTACTGACAGAATGGCGCCACCTTTATATGAGCAAAAAGCTAAAGAATAACGTATGCAGATTTAATTTTTTGTTGAGTTACGTCTATTTGTCTTTGGATTTTTGATAATTCATGAAAGAAAATTCAATTCAGGCGTTTTTTACTGATTCAGGGTATCATCTAAACCATGTTTGGAATAGTTCAATTTTGTGGGTTATTTTTCATTTATGGTATTTGTTGTTCATTTATGGTATTTGTTAATTAGGAGTAGCATTAACCAGATTTTATTAAAATAATTTATTCGCAAAAGTGGCTTCATTTATTTTTGTTAACACTAGCGCACCTAGCGGTAGGAGGCAAGCTTTACCTGCCGTTCACATGGTCAGCGTGCTTTGATGGTGTGCGTGCCCATAGAAAACCCGTGTGAAACGTATACACAAGCGTCGATTGGTGATCAAAAATTGTGTCCCACTTTTTGATACAAGGATTCGTTCACTCTTCGATTTATGTTCTGTGGCATTAGTTTAAGTTGGATTCATCAATGCAGTATAGCCAACGAGGGGCGATCAACTTCATAAATCAGCTGAATTGTAAATACACACTTCGGAAAAAACGCAAAAAAATACGTAAATGCGTACACGCTGAAATTAAAATATCCTAATAAAAATACTAAAAAATACCTCAAAATTACATTTTATAATGAATTTAATACACTTTAATACAAAAATACACAAAACTTAAAAATACATAAATACGAAAAAAAAAATACAAAATACACCTTTTCAAGTCGGGTAGATGAATCGAAAATACTCAAGTTGACAGCCCCTCGGTAGCCAAGTAGCCCTTAAGTTTTCTACTAACGTCTATAATAAAATTTAATTTTTGATTAAATGACGTTATTGCGCAGAATGAGTCAAAACCACTCTGTGATATTTTCAGCCGGAAGTTTGTATTTTTATTTGTTTTGATAAAAAATGGAAATTACCAGCTCCAGATTCATTTAACAGGAGCTGAAGACGACTGAAACCGTCTACCCCATACAATTCCTACTTACCTTACTTTCGGCCGGTGTTATACAATAATTTCGCCGTTTCTTAAAGCGTTTGCTCCGACACACCTGACATTTCAGTGCCAACATTTCAAAGGGGCGTAATTGCATTTGTAAACAATGGCTTTAGTCGTCGATTTCTCGCAAATGAAAACCCACCCCTCCAAGTTACAAATGCTAGCTGATACAGGAAACATTCATCTACGTGCTGGTGTCTTTCATTTTCATGAGTGTACGCACAGAGGACAAACGAAGGGAAATTAAACACTGGCGGAGACGGGAGATCGAAATCCGGACTGAAAATAATGGAATCGAATTTGTATAGCAAGCGGACTGTAATTTTATTCTTTACTGGTTGACGGTTACACGTGTATTGAATGGATTTTATGTTCTTCTTTTCTCTCGATGCTCGCTCGCACAGCGGAAAACCAATTTATGCACCGGCCGCTGGTATTCCATTTGTCCTCGACGAAGGGTCACGGTGCGTACGATTCCGTAGCGATCTGGATGTGTGTTCACAACACGAGCAAGATCCCAAGCTGCAGGAGGAGTATTCTCGTTCTTGATTAGAACTAGTTGTCCCGACGTAAGGTTCTGTTGTACTGCATGCCACTTGTTCCGAGGTTGAAGAGTGGCTACATATTCATCCCTCCAACGGTTCCATATAGCTGTTGTATACTGTTGAATACGTTGCCATCTATCCAAACGATTCTCTGGAATGTGGCTGACGTCGGGCTGGGGCAGCAGATTCAAAGGTTGACCAATGATGAAGTGCCCTGGAGTGAGGGCTTCACAGGAGTCGATAGATGATGACAGCTGGCATAGAGGCCGAGAATTCAAACATGCCTCGACTTGGCTTAATACCGTACCAAGATCCTCGAACGTCAAAGTTTTGTTTCCGACGACTGCCCTTAGGTGCTTTTTCATACTCTTAACCGCTGCCTCCCAAATTCCACCCATATGGGGGGCTGACGGTGTGATGAACGTCCATTTCACTTTCAAATCACCGAGATATTGACCTACTGCTTCGTTGAACTTTTCGGACTGTAAGTACCTTCTGATTTCTCTGTCGGCACCCACAAAATTAGTGCCGTTGTCGGACCAGATATGATGACATAATCCACGACGACTGGTAAAACGCTTGAGAGCAGCAATAAATGCATTTGTAGACAGGTCCGTGCCGCCTCCAAATGTACTGCCTTTGTGGATAGGCATACAAAAACGGCCACATAACCTTTGGATGTCTTCGCTGCGCGTAGATTGCTGGTGCGAATAAGTATTGGACCTGCGTAGTCGACGCCCGTGTGAACAAATGGTCGAGTTGGCATCGTGCGGACACTTGGTAGGCTTCCCATTAACTGCGTTGAAGTTTTTCCTTTCATCCGACAGCACTGCACACAACTATCGACGAAGGCACGAACGACGGCTTGACAACCGATGATCCAGTTCCGTTGATTTAATGTTGCGATCATCAAGATCGGTCCAGCATGTAGATTTCTCAAGTGGATTTCTGACAGCAGCAGCTGCGTATACCGATGTAACTTCGGTAGGATAACTGGATGACGAATGTCGTAAGGTTGAGCAGAATTCTGTAGTCGGCCACCTACCCTTAGAGTGCCACAGGAATCGATAAAGGGGTACAGTGTCTTGAGCTTACTGTTGTTCGGTAGAGTGGAATTTCGTTGTAGTGACTCTAACTCCGATCGAAAGGTATCCTGTTGAGCTGCTTGAGCCAGTTGCAGACAAGCGTCGTCAATCTCTTTGGGAGTCAATGGTCCACTGAAGCTTTGAGTACCGTACAATTTAGCTTTGAGGTTCGTGGCAACTCGGTTGACCCAGCACAAAATGCGTCGAATGCGATTCAAATCTGAGTAACGATTCAGCAGGAAGTTTTCTATGTCATAATTGCGGTTTGGAATGACATTAGTTGACAAACACGTTACTTTTGCCCGTCTTTCCAACATCTCTTCATCCTCAAATATCTCGTCTTCATGTGATGATACCCAGGTTGTAGTAGTTTCCTTGAGCCAGCTGGGGCCAGTCCACCAGAGAGCGTGGTTCACCAACTCGATCGGTGAAACACCTCGCGAAGCACAATCGGCGGGGTTTTCCATAGATGCAACGTGATACCACCGATTTCTTGGAAGAAAGTTGAGAATTGTCGAGGTACGATTAGCCACAAAGGTCTTCCACTTTCGAGGATGCGACGACAGCCATTGTAGAACGATGGACGAATCCGTCCACGCGAATAACTCAACTTTCAGATCCGAAAACGAATCCATGAGTCTTGTCATCAAGTCCACTAGCAAATCTGCTGCCAATAATTCTAGCCTTGGTAATGAAATTTGCTGAATTGGTGCCACCTTGGTCTTAGCAGCCACAATATTAACGCATACTTTTCCATCTTCATCCATAGAGCGAGCGTAAACCACGGCAGCGTAGGCCGCTTCAGAGGCATCTGCAAATCCATGGAGCTGTAGCCTCCCGTCTTGATGTGAGATCCACCGATTGATGCGGAGCGTTTCGATGTGGTGAAGCGTTTCTTTCATTTCGATCCACTCGTCGCAAATACAGGCAGGCAGCGGATCATCCCATTGCAGGTCATACAGCCAGAGGTGCTGGAAAAGTATTTTCGATCGCACAATCACTGGAGCGATTCACCCGAATGGATCAAATAACTTCGATGAATCAGATAATAACTGACGTTTCGTGTTTACACTGTTGATGTCGAATGAAACCTTGAAATAAAAAATGTCATCCTGTGGTATCCATCGTATCCCGAGAGCCTTCACAGTATCTTCTTCCTGCGGCAACTTGATCGAAAAGATTTCCTCACTGGCTACAGATCCCAGGAGCTGACGTTCGTTGCTGTTCCACTTGCGCAGGTTAAAGCCTGCAATCGCCAGAACATCCCTGATTTCGTTCCGAAGATGTATAGCTTCCTCGATCGTATTCGCCCCAGATAGCAGATCATCAACATAGAAATTTTTTGGTATTCGTTCTGCTGCTAGAGGAAACTCCTCCTTGTTATCTTCAGCGACTTTTCGAAGGGCAGCCATCGCTTGATACGCTGCACACGCTGTACCATATGTCACTGTTAGCAAGCGGTAATGCTCCAATGGCTCATCTGGATCACTGCGCCACACAATCCGTAGATAATCGGTGTCTACTGCACTAGTCCAAAGCTGCCGGTACATTTTTTCTGCGTCAGCCGTGAACGCATATCGATAGGTACGCCAACGACAATAAACATTGAAGAGAGGTTCGTTCACGTTGGGTCCAACCAGCAAACGGTCGTTCAGAGAAACTCCAGATGCGCTCCTACTTGACGCGTCGAAAACAACGCGTAATTTTGTTGTCGAGCTGTCTTCTTTCCACACGGCATGATGCGGAAGGTAAAAACATTTGTTCGCTGGCACGGGAACTTCCGCAGGGGAAATCTTCTCCATATGACCAAGCGCCAAGTAGTCAGTCATGAACTGCGTGTAGAGCTGCTTGAGTTGTGGATCGATGCTGAACTTCCGCTCCATTGCATAGAAGCGCCGGATGGCAGCGGTAGCAGATTCACCAAGCTCCGATTTCGTGTCGTCGAAAGGTAAACGAACAACGTATCGTCCATCCGCACTTCGTGAGACGGTTGAATTGAAATGGTCGATTGCACGGCATTCGTCTTCAGTCAGTATTTTGACATTTGGTATTTCCTCTACTTCCCAAAACTTCCGCAACGTTTGATCCAAGTTGACCTCGGTAACTAGGTTGATCACCGCGTTGCTACGAGCATTTTGCGATGAAGCTTCAAAACGGCCACCCACCAAGTAGCCGAAGACTGAATTCTGGGCCAGTGGAATGCCGCGATTGTCTACCAGCTTTCCTGGCTCTAGAACGGAGAAGAACACTTCTACTCCCAATAACAGATCGATTTTACCACGTTCGTTGTACTGTGGATCTGCTAAGGGTGCCTCAGCGAGGGCGCCGGTATCGACGGTGAACTTTTGGCACGGTTGATCTGAAACAAGTTGGTTGAGAATTAGTGCATCCACCACGACAACAATTGTTTCGTCGAATCGCGATGAGATCTGCAGCGTTACTGCTCCATCCGCTTTGCTGTGTTTTCCTGGAGTGATTCCGCTGACCAGAACGTTGGCATTTCGCTTCTTCAGGCCAAGACGTTGAAAGGCGTGCTTGGTAATCATCGAACTCATACAAGCAGAATCGATAATCGCCCGTACTTCGTGAAACACATTGTCCTTTCCCAGGACCTTAACGACTGCTGTTGGCAACATGCTTACGAAGTCAGTTGAACGACAGGTCTCCAAATTCGTGACATACGATGCCACAAAATCCTCAACTTCCGACTTTGGAACTAGGATTTCTTCGTTATCACTGGCCACAGGAGGTTCGATACGCTGGGCAGAATCCTGTACGTTGCTTGTATTTACCAGACACAGAAGAGTGTGGTGTCTCTGCTTGCAATGTTTGCACACTATTGCTGACGTGCAATCCTTTGAGATGTGTGATGGCTTGAGACAGTTGTAGCAAAGCTTGATCCTCTGGACAAGTTCCCGCCGGTCGCCTACTACAATTTCTTTGAAGCTGGCACACTGGTAGATTGTGTGAGCTTGAGAACACATGGGACAGGACAACTGAGTGCTTGCATGGAAGCTTTGAACCACTTTGTTTGATGGAACGGCCTTCGTACTCTGCTCTCCCCTTCGTTCAGAATCCTTCTTTACTGCTACTTCGTTCCCCTTCCTGGTGAAAGACGCATAAGTCTCCATCGCGTCGCATCTTCGCTCGAGGAATGTTAGAAATTCCCGAAAGGTTGGATTATCCAGATCGACTACCTTTTGAGCCCACATAGAGCGAGTTTCACGATCGAGCTTATCTACGAGGAGATGGATCAACCATGGATCACGAGATTCGTATTCTGGACCGAGCGCTTTGAGCTGCCTGACAACCTCGTCTGCGGTCGTGACAAGCTTGCGAAGACCCGTGAAATCGACGACTAAAGCCATTGTTTACAAATGCAATTACGCCCCTTTGAAATGTTGGCATTGATTTTTTGTTCTGTCCCGGATTTGGCTGACTGAGTGGCTTTTACTCAGTTTGACATTTCTCGTTTACCAAGATTTTGACAACCTAATGCATCAGACAAAATTGAATACGATCGACTCACCCGGTGAGTGAAACGCTGTCCAGACTGGAGAGTTATAACAACAATCAATACGAAACTAACGATTTTAAATTGGCTCACCACTTTAGTAGCCTATTGGTCCCAAGCAAACGATTAACGTACCCTATTCTAGTTGAAATTCTATTACTACACTATGTTTGTTTTGATTCGCTATGAAAGTTTGACAGATAACATCAGGGGTGTGTGGATTCATGCAGAACATGCAGGGGTGAGTGAAATAGCTTGGGACTGCTTGGGACCGTTGTTCTGGTACTGAGTGAGCCAAAAATAATAATGATTTTCTTCGGGACCCAGTGGTCTTAGAGTTACCTCTATGATGATACTCTATGTCCAGCAACATTGATTTACCAATAAAAAGTTCCAAGATTTAATTACATATTGTATATAGTGAACATACCGCGCTAGTCGCGAAATGAATCAAGTTAATCGAATGTATTATCGACAAATGGACATATCTCGTGTCACTTTTCAAATCGACCAATGTAACAAATGTAAACAAACCGAGTTAAGCGATACAAACTGTTGCTCTTCTATCATTGTATGTCATACAAAAACATCCATCCAAATTCACTTTCATTTATTTAAGATAATCATATGTAAAAAATTGTACAATGTACAGTTTGAAATTATGGGTACATGATTGTTACTTCGGTCATTCGGACTGCCTAACATGATTGGTGCTCATTTTTCAAAGGCGGGGCCAATCTAAAGTTAGGTACTATACTCTGAAATCTGTGAAAGGGAATCTAGTATCATGTAGACACAACGTCCAATGTAACACTCATTGATTATGTCATTGAGAAAAATCGTCCAATGTAACATGTCCGATGTACAACTCGACTTGTCAAAACGTCTTATGTGGTTTTTTCTATGTTGTAGCATGAAATTTAAAGTAAAATTGTGATTTTACTGTTTCTTCTGAATTTTCAACGTTATTTTACACTGACTACATTAAAAATAATATTGCAAAATGTATTGTTTTTAAACAGTTAAATTAATAATCTGTCGAACTTCAACTTCGATTTTCTCAACATGGTGGATATGTTACATTGGTCTATTTGAAAAGTGACGCGAGATATGACCTTATTCAAAAATTCAGTGCCAACATTTCAAAGGGGCGTAATTGCTTTTGTAAACAATGACTTTAGCCATCAATTTCTCGCGAATGAAATATTACCACTCCAAAATGACAATGCTAACTGGTAGAGGAAACATTTATCTACCTGCTGGTGTCATTATTTTCATGAGTGAGCTTTTATTCACGAGAAATCGACGGCTAAAGCCATTGTTTACAAATGCAATTACGCCCCTTTGAAATGTTGGCACTGAATTAATCACGCATAACAAAAACATCGATGCAGTGAGATGTGAGAGAGATCGAATTTAATACGTTTTCAGTAGCGGGAGCAAAATTGACAGCATTTAAACAATCAACAGTTTAGGCTGTGAACCATTTGCCGAGTTAAATTTAACTCGTGGTTAAAAGTGACATTTCGAAAGTTATTTTCTACACGGAAATGAAAAACTACCCAAAATTGGCTTCTTTTGACTCAACCTTGTACTATCGTTCAATAAGGTAAATTTGGGTAAAAGTAGATATACCTAATTTTGGGTAAATTGGCGAAACTTCCTGCTAGGTAAATTGATGCAGTCCCAAAAAAGCCACCGTTGCGTAAAATTAACTTACCGGTAGGTAAAAGAGATTCGGAGAAGATCCAGCCAAATAAAGCCAGCAAATATAGGTGGTAAAAAAGATCAATAGGTGACGTTTTCATTGAATTTACGATATATATAAATCTGTAATAATTTCTTCAGACAATGAAGAAGAACCTAGCGGAAAAAGAAGCTGTTTCAATCATCAAACAAATAAAAATACAGTTTATAAAAGTTTTAATTGACCACTAAAAATCAATTTTTATTGACCAAATCAATATACAAAATTTTTCACATTTCATTCGACTGTTGAATTATTCAAAAATTCCTTGTATCGCACAGTTAGCTCTGTGACGGATTTACATTTACTGTAATGTTTCGTTCCCCAGACATTTACCGATATCATGTCATTGAGTTTCCGGAGCAACATTGGTACTTTCAAGCCAAGCACAGCAAACGATTTGAACAAAATCTCGATAGCCCGTGTGCTTGAATCGCCACAAGGAATGACGTTTTGATTGAAGACAACGTACATATTGCCTTGTTTGTATCGATCAGCTACGCAGATGATAAGTGGTCCAACAACTGTTGCGGATGATTGTTTCACCGCAAGCTTCTCATCAAATCCAATGTCTGTTTGCGTGTATTTAGTCCATCTAATCAACGGTGCAGCGGTAATTTCCTCCATGCTAGCATTTTCCATAATTATGGTTCGCTTGATGCCTTTATTTGACAGCTTTTTCATCAGCCTCAAAGCTCCTCTGACAAAATCTGAATAAGGAAAAATAGAAATATATAATTTTAACGTGCGATATAATAATTAGCTTTCTTACCATCTTCTACCATATTCCAGCTAGTAGTGTCGAAGAGCAGTCCTACGCGAAGTAGTGTTTTCAAATCACCAGCTACATAAATATTTGCCTGGATTCGATCGAATGCCTGTATGATCTGTAAAAAAAACACTGTTAATAAAAATGTTATTTCATTTTAAATAATCCTTCAAATTGTAAAAGTAACAAATTATAGGCGAAGGGTCAATCCTGATTGAGGTAGAAACAAATTTAGGTTAAATTTAAGACAAATGAGAGTAAATAGTAAATAGATGGTTTACAAAGCCGGGAGATCACTGAAGCACAAATAGTGAAATTTGTTTTGAGCTGATGTATTTTAATACTCTCCCTAATAAAAACTACCATAAACGAATGATATGCCAAATGGTTGAACCATTCTACAAATGGTTGAGATGATACCCGAAACACGTAGTTAAGCAAAATAACCATAACAGTTTATTAGGGCTGTATGAGATCTTTTTTGAATCAAGGCCTTGAAAATACGTGAGTATGTAGTAAAACAAACATCTTAAAATAGTTGATTTTAAATAAAAACATATCACACTTACCAGTGAGCTTTTCATAGGAACCGCCGTCCAATTTTTTTTGCAGCCGTTCCATTCCGTGATATCATCAATTCGAAACCGTTTGACGTTTGATTGGACTGTACGCCAATCGGAAGCTCAGACAAACCGAAAAACCACCGCAAGTGAAATGCGCTTTGCGCAATCCTTCTACCAATGCTGCAGAGAGAAATTTAATATATAACCTAAAATCAATCAATGTTATTAAAATAACATCATACTTACAAGATACTGCCAACTAGAACGGTCGGAGGTTTAGCCAAATCAGCAAGGGGCTCAGCCAAATTCAGAAAATCCGCCGCAAGGGAAGAGGAAGCGTAAAAATTACCGGGTACTGTTGTCAACTGGCTGCTTCCACTGCAACGCCTGCCAGGAGCTCAGTCAAATCCGGAAAAATCACCGTAAGTAAAGTGAAAGCGAAATCCTTCTACAACTGCTACTGAGAGAAGTTGATTTTATAATTAAAAAACAATCGTTGTTGTTAAAATAACATCATACTTACAAAATACTGTCAACTGGAACGGTTGCAATGTTATCTGTCAGAGGTTAAGCCAAGTCCGGAAAATCCACCGTGAAGTGGAAGTGTAATCCAACTACAGTTGTCAACTGGAATGGCTATTGTTATGTTGCCAGCCGGATGCTTAACCAAATCTGCTGGAAGCTCTGCCAAATCCGGAAAATCTGCGACAAGCGAAATGAAAATGGAACTGCTGCTGCAGAGAGAAACCTAAAATTAACATAGAATTAAAAATTAACCAATGTTGTTAAAATAACATCATTCTTACAACACTAACCCGGAACGATTATTGTACTGTAGCCGAACGGAAGCTTAGCCAAAGCTACCGGAGGCTCAGTTAAATCCAGGAAATCCACCGCCAACGTTAACCAGGGAAGTGGTTAACAACTGGAACGGCTGTCGCACAACCACTCTACGCCTGCCGGAAGCTCAGCCAAAACCGAAAAAACCACCTCAAGCGAGGTGAAAGCGCAATCCGGCTACCACTGCTAGAGAGAAGTTTAATGTTAAATTAAAGATAAAGCAATGATGTTAAAATAACGTCATACTTACAAAATACTCTCAACGGCAAGGAACAATACCGGTATTGACCGGAACGGTCGTATTGTAGCTGGCAGGAAGCTTCACCAAATCTGCCGGACACTCGGCCAAATCAAGAAAATCTGGTGATCCAATTACAAAACAGCACTGATCCTGCTGTAAGCTCGAACGGCTATCACACAACCACTGCTAAGCCTGCCGGAAGCTCAGCCAAATCTAGAAAAAAAACACAGCAAACAAAATCGGAATCCACTGTTGCAGAGAGAAGTTTAATATAGAATTAAAAATCAACCAATGCTGTTATAATAATATTATACTTACAAAATCAATCAATCAAAAATATCAGGAGACGAGACAGGAGTTGTCCACGAATTTTGTGTTTAAAATAATCCTTAAAACTGAAAAATATACAGAAACCAACTTGCCTTGTCAAAGATCGAAACAATTATGGCGCCGTAGTTTGCAATAACACTGGAGGAAATTTTCATCCAATTTTAAGTATATTTTACGCAACGTTAACTATACTTGATAAACTTAGCGTTGGGTAGTTTTGGACTTGCTTATTTTGGGAAATATAAAATAAAGATCGATAAGACATATTATAATATGCAATTAATGCGAAGCACCTATATTCTCGAAAAGCGAGTGTTTTAGAGAATGTCGAAGAGAATCTAGACTTATGTATTTTTTTTTTTCAATATTTTGGTATCACCATGATTATGATAAGGGCATAATTACAAGTTTTTTTTTACTCAACGCTAGGTATTGTAATATTTACTCAACCTATGAGTAAAAAGTATTTACCTGTCAGTTCAACTTTTACCCAACGAAACACTTTAAGCAATATACTCAATTTTGAGTACTTTAAACCTATTTTTTGGGTATTTTTTTATTACCGTGTATGTTCGAAAATCCCCGTGCTGTTGATCGATCGGTTTTCGAGCCACAGTTGTCAAAATTTAACTTCTTGTCTGTCAGAAGTAACCACGCTCGGATAGCAGGGTTAATCGATAACTTTCCATCTGTCAAATTTTAACCAAAAGTTAAAATAATCCACCAAATGGTTCAGAGCCTTAGGCTGTGAACCATTTGCCGAGTTAAATTTAACCAATGAGCTGGATTACCGAGGTGAAGCAATCACTCACACAACCACTGTACGATACAGGCAAGTACACGCAAGTAGTGACGTCACTACTTGCGTTTACGTTGATTTTTTGGTTTACTAATACAACCCTATTTCACGATCTGCTCCACCTCTCTCTGTACCTCATTGAAATTTAACTCGTGGTTAAAAGTGACATTTCGAAAGTTATTTTCTATGTTCGAAAATCCCCGTGCTGTTGATCGATCGGTTTTCGAGCCACAGTTGTCAAAATTTAACTTCTTGTCTGTCAGAAGTAACCACGCTCGGATAGCAGGGTTAATCGATAACTTTCCATCTGTCAAATTTTAACCAAAAGTTAAAATAATCCACCAAATGGTTCAGAGCCTTAGTAGTGTTTGGGGTAGTGTGAGCGTAATACTGTATATGAATATTGATTTTGATGATCTGTCAGAGAAATAGGTGGTGTTTGCATCTATTTTCGTGTTTCAAAGAAATTAACAAAAATCAGTAAAAATGGAAACCCGTCGGTGTAAAAAGTCAAAAAGTCCAACAAATGTTCGACTCTCTTTTGTAGAAGTGAAACAAGAACCGGACGATGGATTGTACGACTGCACTGAACTGCTTCAACCCCAAGGGGCACAGAAGTTCACACCAGAAACTGTAAACAAGTATGTATGGGTCACTGATAAAAGCCGTTCTAGGAACAATGATGTATTTTCGCTGCTAAAATATAGCATAATATGTTTTATAAAACTTTTATTAATATATCAAATAGTTTTTTCCCTGACCTGTTAAAAGGTACAACTAGCAGGGTAAGTTAATAATACAAATAATTTTCCGCTTTTACAGACACAGTTCCGCATTACAACCGAAAGCATCTGAGCAAAAATCATGTAAAACTTATTACAGAAGAAGTCGTGCCACACAGGTCAATGCAGAAGACATTGACGTAATTAGTGTAAGAAGTTTAGATCTGTCTAACGTTCAAGCTGAAAATAAACCGATTCAACCTATCGGACCCGAAGCGATTATCCCACAGTGTCGATTTTGTCTGCGAAGAGTTTCACGAGCTAATATGAAAATCATTCTCATGAAGCATAAAACAAAAGCACTAGCCGCTTTCCAGATACGTGTATTCCCTAACGATGCCTATCCATTTGCTTGTTCGAACTGCTTGAACTTGATAGACATTTTCCTGGACTTCAAATCATCTGTCACGAAGGCACGGAATCTACTTCTGAATAAAAGAATGCATTTGGAAAGTAATGGGTGGGATGATGCGATATGCATAGAAGCTTTCAACCAGTGTAAAACTGCCGTAGAACAACACCGGATGCAGATAGATGCAATCTATGACGAGCAAATTGCTAGAGAGGAAAGACGAAATGCATCTATATTCGAACCGAAAATGGAGCTGAATGTCGACGAACAAGAAAAAGCTCATTCTAACGATCTGAATTTCGATCACGAGCAAAGTACAGAAACAACAGATAATATGATTGATGATCCTGCGGTTGAGTTTAGATTGGAATCTGATATTAACGAAGTGGAACAAATGTTAATATCCCACGCGGTTGATGGAAATGGTGATAATGAAAGTGAACTAATCACCACTTTGAATGTTGATGTAAATTCTGAAGGACCTGCTGAGAATGAAAAAAATGCAAAGATTGCTTCTTCAATTGATGAGGACTACTTACCCCTCTCGAAGAGAAGAAAGGTAAAGGTACTCAAATATTCTACCGAATCTGAACAAGGACTTGAAGATGAAGACTACACTGTGACGGATTTGAATTCGTCGGATGACGATGACTACAAACCAGAATCATTGACAGCAACGTCAAAGAAATCCAAAACCTCATCAGATTCCGAACAGGAGACAGACGATGAGATTTCCATACCTGAAGAACTGGATTATGGTAATAAAGGTAAACCTACACGTTCGTCAAAAGCTAAAGCGAAGGGGAAGAAACCTAGAAAACCTAGAAAAAAGCGGGAATCGACATTGAACAGACCACCGGATTATAAACCGCCATCCATCTTGCCAGTATTATGTGATTTATGTGGAGAAAAGGTGCGCCCTGAAACGATTGAAGGTCACAGAAATCGTCACCTAGGTAAGAAGTTCAACGAGAGTTAATTTTATAACACGGTTAGATTTTCTACTACTTCCTTATCTAGGAATTAAACCGTACACCTGTCCTGTTGATTGTTGTGGGTGGACGTTTTACGGCCGTGCTAACATGTCTACGCACATGCGACGTATGCACCCTGAAAATGGTGTTCCATCTCAGAAATGCGACGTTTGCGGCAAATATATCAGAGGTAAACCTGGAATCCTGAACGAGCACAAAAAACTGCATTTCCTGAAAGAGAAAAGCTATGTCTGTCCAGTGTGTGGAAAAGGCTTCACGCTGAACAGATACCTCAGACAGCATTCGATCATACACACCGGACTGTTTCCGTATGAATGTAGCTACTGTGGTAAAAAGTAAGTGGCTCTCCAAGTGATGTTGACACATTTTACCGTGACGTTTATTATAAATTTTTTGCTGTCATAAAAAAAAACATGCAAAGCAACCCCTTAATATTATTGTAGATTTAAAAGGTGCGTTAAATTTCCTACAACAATTATTGATCAAAAGTATCACGTATCATTTTAAATGAAAAGGGCCTATACATTTTAGTAAATAAAACTTGTAAGGTCTTTTTTACGTGAACCATGGATGAGAGAAAAGTTATAAAACGCTTATGTTTTTCGAACTAGTAATTTTAAATTAATTTGATTGTTTTTGTGGGCGATAAAAAGTCGAAATATACCTATTTGAACGACTTTCATCAAGTATTAAAAAAATCGAATATTTAATCTAATACGTCTATTGAGTAAAACCGAAGACAACATATTGTCTTCGGTAAAACTTAGCTGTTTTGAGAAATAGAACCATTTTAAAATGTTAATCCCATCAGGTAATTCTTTGATCAATAATGTAAATCGTTAAATCTGCGTCAAGCCTTTTTTCAATATGTCCGCAAGAGGCCAAGTTTTTAAGGCCTATACGTTTAGGTGAGCGGAGATGTAGCGTGATAAGCTACTCAAATTTCAAACTTTTGATCAAACCTTATATAAAATTTACCGTACTTTCCAAATCTGCTATTATATGTAGGGGCTAGTTACAGTAAAAAAAAAATGTTAACGGAACCAGTGGTAGAATGTGCCTGTTGCTGATTATCAGAGGAAATTCTAACTAGTGCATTTTCAGGTTCAACAACAAATGGAGTATGAAGACTCATGAGAAAAATATGCACGAAAAGAAAAATCAAGCATCAGCTAGTTACGATTCCGATCCGATTATAGATGCCGCAGCATCAGGACATAACTATGCAGAATAAATAGTTTCTATAGCCTCTGAAATACATTATGCTGTTTTTTATTGATCATGAAAGAAAATTATATTCATATGGTGAGTGCTGTTAAAAACTGTGCAAAGTACCTAGGCCGATTGGTCAGTGCACCACTTAACAGCATTCTTCTTCGACTTAACTACTGATGACAGTTGGTTTTTGGTGATTTTTGTCTACTGTTTACCCAGGTGATACCGTTGACTTAAGGTGCATAATTCGTCAAGAGAGCGCAGAGTAATTAACAAATGAGTGATTTGTGCGAGTCATACCCTGTCGTCCGTTTTGTTGAACGTTCTAGGTATTATCGGTAGAGTTGAAAAACGGAGAAAACTTCACACGCGACAATCTATTTTACTCGTGTTCTGTACGTTAAACATAGTGTTGGAAATAATGCACTGTATTCGCTACAATGCGCACTATGTTTAACGTGCATTATGCGCGTTATGTTTAACATACAGAACGAGAGTAAAATCGAATGTCCCTCCCGATGGACATGGAGGTTCACAGCAAAAAAATGTAATATCGATCAATGTAATTCAAGCTGATGTATGAAATAATGATGTAATAGCAAAAAGCAGATACAATATTACATCAATGGATGTAATTTTGTTCGCAAAATCGATGTACATCGTACAACGTTATATTACACAACCGATGGATTGACCTGGTTACAGCAGTTTGGATGTAATATTCAACAACTTTTTTTTTCTGTGTTGACGGTACTGAAGCAAAGGGCTATGTCTCTTTATTTTTGCAACTATGATGACTTCCCATAGTGAAAAATATCTCCTTCCTAATGCTTCAGAATGCCACAAACGATTAACTCTTGGTTGTCAATAGAACTTCCATGATGAAATCGTCTGCTTCATGCAGACTGAGCAATTCTTACTATAGTATCAGATTTGTTCTGTATAGACTAAGAGGGCTTCAGTGTTGAGAAAATATCAAAAAATCAAATCTCACCAACGCTCAAGATCACGCTTGATTTTCGTAGACAAAAATCAACAAGCAAACAACTGTGGATGAGTTTGCAAGCTGTGATATCGCAGCTCGGAATATCAAGCTATCAAAATTCACGAGCTGCAAATCTCAACAAACTGTGGTGAGATTGAGTTTCATGATTTTTGCTTTACACCCGAACGCAACCGAAACATCCATAACGGCTGGCAGCACTCACTTCGTGTCTGCCATCGGTGAAGAGTAAAAAGAGATAGCAAACTATACTTTCTCTTTCTAAGAAAATGATGTGCAACGGAATCATTTTTGTGTCGAGTCAACTCTCGCTTGTTTTTTGCACTTTGTGAATAGTCTCGCAATATCAAAGGAGCTTGTAAAATCAATATCAAGCATGATATTTTGTTCCAATATCACGCGTGATATTGCGAGCGCATGAGAGCGGAAAAATATTAATTGATTTCTGATTTTGCCAACACTGGAGGGCTTATTAGAAACTTCTCACCAATAAAGTAATGATCTTGTAAATTTAGCATAACATTTTATTTTATTTTAAGTTTCGAAGTTAACGCATGTCCATAGGCCTAATATAAAGATAGGTAGAAAGAAAAATTATCATGGAGAATGGCTGCGTAAAATACATTTGTGAGAATATATATTTTGGCTAACGTAAAGACAATGACAGCCGGCGTCGGTGGTGTAGTGGTAAGCGTGACTGCTTTCTCACCCTAATGGGTCCGGGTCCAATCCCAGACGAGGTCAGTGGGATTTTTCTGAGGCATAAAAATCTCTGATCACGTCTTCCTTCGGAAGGGAAGCAAAGTCGTTGGTCCCGGCCCATGTGTGTTTTGAATGGGTGCGATATCCTACGCAGGTGTGGAAGCTGCCTTCCTGCACATTCAATTGCCGTCAATGGATGACTTCTTCTTCTTTCCTTTATTTAACGTCAGTCTCTGTTCCGCAATCTAGTACCAATCAACGACGGACATCGATTGCCATTGACTGATGAATCAGATTGTCGAACAGAAACTGACGGTAAATCAAGGAAAGAAGAAGAAGAAATACAATGACACTGATTCTCGAAATTTCCAAGAAGATAATGTGAGCTGATTTCGAAAGCCCAGTGGTTTTTTGGAGGCGAACCAGCCTAAGGCTGAAAGCCTCCTAAATAAAGCTAAATAATAATAATAAGCCCAGTGGTTTATCAGCCACCCCACCATAAACTAATCCGTCCGACATAGTCGCTTGAAAATTTCCACACACGAGCCCCGATCATTGTGATCCTATGGGGATAATACCATAGAGGTAACTCTAAGACTAGAAGGTCCCGAAATAACGTGCTCAACTTTTTGGCTCAGCTCTGGTACTCTCTTCGGTCCCAAGCTAGTCGATTCACCCCTCGAAACATAGGAAAAACCAATAACCCCTCATTTTATCTGTCAAACTTTCATAGCGAATCAAAACAAACATTGCGTAGTACTAGAATTTCGACTAGAATAGGGTACGTTAATCGTTTGCTTGGGACCAATAGGCTACTAAAGTGGTGAGCCAATTTAAAATCGTTAGTTTCGTATTGATTGTTGATAATACCCCGTTCACATTACAGCGTATATCAAAGTGATATACGGTGTCTTGCAATGAGCACATACATCTAGTTTTCACTGGAATTCCTATGTATGAGCAAAGGTGAATACTAATACCTTGTACAGACATACAAAGTTCACTGTTGTACTACCGTTGTACTGCTTTAAGCTAGTACCACAAATTGTACGTTTTGAGGTACTTGATTAAAGGAGTACAACGGTACTAATTTGTATGTCTGTCTGTGGTATAAGATGAAACTGTCGGAAGAAAAACTTTCTATTTTATACCCCGTTCACATTACAGCGTATATCACGTGATATACGATGTCTTGCAATGAGCACTCATAAATCTAGTTTTCACTGGAAATCCTATGTATGAGTGCTCATTGCAAGACAGCCTATATTACGTGATATAGGCTGTAATGTGAACGGGGTATTAGTGTCCTCTTTCACGGTCCCTTTCATCCAATGAATACCCCCCGTATTCAAGGTAATTTTGTGGTTTTGCTGCCCCCTCGTCAGAGGTGAAATTTTTCGCTAATTTTTTATCGAAACAATCACACCAAAATCAGAGATGTCCAATTTTTCAATTACTCGATTAACAACTAATCGATAGTTTTTTGTTCGCTGTGCTGTCATTTTTCCACCAATGAGAGTGCAGCACATGTTTGAAAAAATGGGTGATGATCCTCTGGAGATGTTAATGCTTATATCGGCATAATATAAACGATTACAAATATTTTATTTTTCGGTTCGTTATACCCCGTACAGACTATGGCTTATATCATGTAATATAGGCTGTCTTGCAATGAGCACTCATACATAGGATTTCCAGTGAAAACTAGATGTATGAGTGTTCATTGCAAGACAGCCTATATTACATGATATAATCCATAGTCTGTACGAGGTATTAATCGATTAATCGATTATTCGAATGAAAATCGGCCATCACTAGATGAATGTGAAACGTCATTTCAAATATAAGGACATCATCAATGGATGTAATTTTGTTCGCAAAATCGATGTACATCGTACAACGTTATATTACACAACCGATGGATTGACCTGGTTGCAGCAGTTTGGATGTAATATTCAACAACTTTTTTTTTCTGTGTTCACGGGTTGGTGTTCCATCGTACACAGCAAAAAAAAATGTAATATTGATCAACGTAATTCAAGCTGATGTATGAAATAATGATGTAATAGCAAAAAGCAGATACAATATTACATCAATGCATGTAATTTTGTTCGCAAAATCGATGTACATCGTACAATGTGATATTACACAACCGATGGATTGACCTGGTTGCAGCAGTTTCGATGTAATATTCAACAACTTTTTTTGCTGTGTACAACTTGGAAACATTTAAAATTAAATGCCGCAGTTCATCACCACGTGTGGAATTTGAGTGTTGGATTTTTCTGAGTGTATGTGCATCTGTTTCGATGAAAAAATAAATATAAAACGACTTTGTTTTGCTGGTACTGCAATCGATTGTATTCTTGTAAAATCGCCTATTGCTGTTGTTGGCAACTTCATTTTCATTCCAAATTTTAGAAAATTGAGACGAATAAGTGCAAGTGAAGTGATTTTTTTTGCTAAAAATCAGCCCACCTTTACGTATTTTGAATCGTTCATCGTAGTAAAGAGAATTAAAATTAATTTCGTTTAGTGATAGTGAAAATGTATACGTTTCTATAGTGTTGAATAGAAGTGGAAGTTTCTAAAGAAAAAGCTCCTGAAGCGACAACTGCAGCCAGCAGGAGGAAGTCGATAGAATATCGGGAAAGAGGTAAGCATATTTTATTATTTATTGCTGAATATATCTAGCTGATTCTTCATCAATTTCAATAATAGTGAAATAATCGGATATTGTTGAATTCATGCGATCTGTTACCGCCGTTTAGACAACATTTTTGTTTACGTTCTTTTAAAAGATGACAGGGATGCCAGATTATTTGATGGAAATTGCGTTAAAATTTTAAATGTCTGGGAATAAAAACAAGGTGTAAAATCGTTTTTGACCTGATATTTAAATCAATTTAAATAAATCGACAGCAAGCATGCATAAGGGCGTATACGCGATGATCGATTCCCTTCATCGATTTTATCTTTGCATTGCTACAGCTAGGCGAATCAATTTTCAAGAATTTGTTCAGTGCATAGTTGTAACAGGTTGTATTGTCTATCAAAAGCAACAGCAAACGCACCGAGAAACGGCGTTTTATAGCGAGTTATTACCAAAAGAGAAAATAGACGAAGAGAATCGATCATCGCGTTTACGCCCTTATGCATCATTACTGTCGAAATCTCCTACTTATGCTCTAAAAATTATTACCGATCACCAGAATTCCTAATTATTTCCTATAAATTTTCTTAAAATGTCGTTGGATCTTTCACCACAATTAATTTGCCTTGTAATTTTCCTCAGAATTCCTTCGAAAGTATCCTTCCTAATTTCCGTTAAATTCTTTTC